TGTTTTGATTACTTGAATAATAATAAGTTATTAAAAGTCGTGTTTGTGTGAAGGGAAAAATAAGTTTTTTTTTTATTTATTTTATGAATTAGTGTCAAATACATACAATCAAACATTGATATTTTTAACTAATTAATAAAATGTAATTTAATATCATCAATTTTTTAATATTTATATGATGATAAAGATTTAAGTGAAATACTTCCACCCATAGAAAATCAACTATAAATTTTTTAAAAATTAGAAAAATATAAAATATATCGTAACATATCAATTTAAATATTTTAGATTCAACCGCGACTCAACAAAATATTAGAGTAAGTGATCTATGTTCAAATTACGGTAATGTCATTTTTGTTTCAACTAATGTTGATAATGGATAGATTTGCATGACCCAAGGTACGTATGTAAATTTTACAATCTAACGGTTGATTTTGAATTTTTCTATGCTTACTCTCAAAATTTGAACCTTTTTTACTACGAGTTGCTAATTTTGACCGTGGAAGTGATTTTGACAAGCTAACTACACCCACCAATAGAGTTGAATTAATCTTTTATGGTATTTTTTTTTCCGTTGCTAATAAACGAGAATAATTGAGTAGGGTGACTCGTTCACAATTTACGTCGCTTTTGTTTTTAGTTTAATTACAATTTTGTCCATAATCTTTTTGTTCATTTCTCCTTTTAAATAAAATTTGACCTCTGGAATTGAAGTTTTTTCTTTTTAAAGTTGACGAACTACAAAGGTAAGAGATTAAAAGATGAAATTAACGGATGTTTTAAGTTTTAAGAATCAAAATGGCAAAAGTGGATCAATGCATCAAGATTATGAATACCTTAATTTCTTTTTCCTTATTCAAAGATTTTAAAAGAGAAAACAATTATTGCTGTGTTATTATAGAAAGAAAAAAAAAAGGGAATATCACGAATAAAATAGCCTCATATATGTTTAAGCCTCCATCTACCTATATTATTCCTACATTATCTTTTTGAGATATATAAATACTTTTATTTTGTAAAGACATCTGCAGATATATAATGTAAAATAAATATGTATTTTTTTTCAAATAGTTAACCAATTGAACAAAATGAGCACAATTTAAATCCAACTAAATCAACACGGTTAACAATATTAGGGCTGCAAATATTAGACTAATATACAATTTAAATTTACTTTGCAAAAGAAAAAGGAAAAGAAGAAAAAAAATTGCAATCTTTTATCCTTTTAGTTAATTATTTGTTGAAATAAATTTTATGGATTAATTTTTCAACAATATATATTTCTTTGTGCTTTTGGAAAGTTTTTAGTGGATTATATAATTGAGTGGTTTGTAATTTTTGAAATGATCTTATGGCTTTTATTGTAATTATGCTTATTTTAGTTTCATGCATTCTCTAGATATATATTTAAATTACCTAAATGATAATTAATATGATTTTTTAGTACTAACATATAGAGGTGGAAATTTGAATATAAATAATTAGAGATAGGTGCCTTATTATTAATGAATATAAATAACTAGGTTCTTATTAAACATATTTAAATCTCCCAATGAAGGCTATTAATAACATCTTCCGGAAGCTTTCTTAATAGTTCTTTACAACTTGGTGTAGATGAAAAGTGCCACATTTTCTTTTTGGTTTAGAATGATAAATCTTCATTTTGATTCTTTTTTTAATTTCAAATTACTTTAAAACTAACTATTATTCTACCAATATTTTTCTCCAATGTGCCTTTTTTTAATTACCCAAAGAGTCGGTCGCTATTTGATCTTTTTGTCCCTATATTGAGTATTTGCACTCGCCCCATATCCGTACATATGCAAGAGTTCAGTGTTTGATGGAGTTGTGTTCTTTGTCTCCAATATGTCTTCAACTTCATAGTTCTTTCAAAACATGTGTTTGATAATTTATTGAATGCACCGGAGAACTATTGCTTTTTATCAGAAAAAAAAAAACCTTCAAATTTCAACCCTCTGTAATTTAAGGTAAAAGATTGTAACATTTATTCAATTTAGGTCCAATTTGATTAAATTGAACATTTAAGATAAAAATTGATCGATTTATCAAGTTTAGGGTAAAAAATTATTTACTTTTCCTCCATGCAGATGTAGGCTCTTTTTAAAGGAGATTTTTATATGGATGGAGATGGATATCTTTCGATCTAGAAAGTTGTTTCTATTTTTTTTGTGATTCTCTTTGTAATACACATTTCCTTGCGTCTGTTATTAAAATTGTTCCTTTTAAAGATCTAATGATTTAGATTTAGAGTATATATATATATTTTTTTAAATTAAAAATAGGAAAAATAGAAAATTTTAACAAACTGGGTGTAAATATCATAAATAAATATCTCATTCTCAATACAGCTGCCTCAGCCTAACGATTATTCCCCATTTTTGTCTTCACTCAAAACAAACATTTGGTTGGTGATGCTAGCACCTCACCACACACACATAATTAAAAAAAAAAAAATTTAAATTAAAGTATTGTATTCGTTCACGAAATCCTGTCTCGAATTGAACCCTAAACTTGAATAAGTTCTAAAATCGTTATTCTCCATTTACTGGATTCGAAATTGAATATTTTCTATAGTTTGACTTTGTTCAAGTTTAAAGTTTATTTTAATGAAATTGACTGTTTAATATTAAAATTGACTCGCTGACTTATCTTTAGGTAAAAGATAATTTTTTAAAAAATATTTATAATAATATGCAAGTGGAAAGATACCAAATTTAATTAATCTACCTACGGAGTTTTTAATAATATATGAAAAAACCATATAACCACCTCAGCCTAGCCTACCAATGGACTGTCAATCGAATGTTATTTATAAACAATAAACCTTTACATAAATGTAGATAACATTCATTTAACTCAATTTCACTTTAAATTTTAATATTTTAGAAGAAGTTGTCAACGTGTGACTAGCACAATTGATTAAAGTATATATTCGACCAAAACATGATTTGAATTTTTACCTCCACGTGTTGTTGTAATAAAAAGAATACGTATTTATAATTTTAAGAAATTATTTAAAATGGTGCTGACTGAAATAAGTTCTCATAATTGTTTGATAATAACTTTATTTATATTTCTTTTTCTTTTTCTACAAAAAGAATCATACTAGTTCATTAGCAAATTTTCTTCTTCTGTATTTGTGTGAATATTTTCAAAATTATAACTAACAAAATGGTCTTACAAATTTGTTTTTCATTTTTGAAATTTCACAAAGATTAAACAAATAAATAGGAGTTGAACTTCTCAACGCTGAGAAGATTTTAAATATCCTTCAAAATTATGATTAATGCTCATTGAATTGAAGGAGGAGTAAATTTATTATTTGAAAACAGTAAAAAAAAATCAACAAAATTAATCACAAGCATTAGGTGCTAAAAACTATAAATGGTTTGGTCCTAAAATACATAATTACTCAAAATCAACTTATTACCCAGTGGAAATAAGTAGGAAAATTTAAAAGGGCAATGATGGAAAAGCAATAAATGTTGAATAATAATCTTTCTTAATTTTTCTTTTAGTAGATATTAGCGATGGAAGAGGGAAACTTCATGATTTGGCTTTAGCTCAAAGGTAGCGATTGCTATTTTTTCACTTATACGTGCGAGAATGTAAACAAACAAAATTGTAAGGACTTCTTCTGCAATTTAGGTAATTATGAAAACTGATGGTTTTTAGGAAGTTGAAATTGTCAAAATTCAACATTGCTTTGGAATTTTTTTGGTATGAAAATTAAATTTAGGTAAATTTTATTTAAAATTAGAGATTTTTTTTTTAAATTATCGTTTGATAACAATTTATTTTATGTTTTTTATGTTAATATATTTGTTTGATAAGTATTTTAGTTTTCAGTTTTTTTTTTTATAAATGATTTTGAATTCTGGGTCAATTTCATAGAAGCAAAAAATAAGTCGTTTTCAATAATATATTTTTGTATGTTTATTTTTTGCACTCTCTGACAAATTTCTCTCTATAACTTTTTCCTCTATAAATTCCTCCCTCTCAAAAAATTCTCTCTCTCTAGAATTTTCATTTTTATAATATAATATTTTATTTCATCCTCTAAAATTTTTAACTTGGAAAGCTTTTATTTCTTTCTCTTCTATTAGAGAGTATCTCTCACTTTCTTTAAAAATGAACTCAATCTTTTTCTTTCTAATTAAATTTGTATTTCTCTAAAATTTCATATATATTTTTTTTAGAAAGAAAACTGTAAATCTACGATACATAGGGATATGCGCATTATCTCCATACTGATATCAAAGAATCATCGTTTGGTGGAAATTACATGAGATCCCAAACCACTCAAACTATCCAATTTGGACAAAATAAACGAGTGTAAAAGTAATAAAAAAAAAGTGCAACAGGACTTCCCAATTGATACAAATTTCATGTATATTTCTCTTTCTCTTTTAAATTTATTTTTCCTCTAAAAATATATATCTTTAATTTTATCCATCTAAATTTTTCTCCCTTTAAATTTTCTCTCACTATAATATTTCTTTTTCTTCGTAATTTTGATTTCTTTCTCCGACATCTCTTCAGCTTTCAACTTACTCTCTCCCCCCTAACTTTTGTCTGTCCTTTTTTTTCTCTCTAACTCGTCAACATTTACACTAATATTCTCTAACATATCTTTCAGTGAACCATTTTTCTTTATCTATATTTATTTTATCTTTCTAAATTTACCCTCTTCAAAATTTTCTCTAAATAAATTTCTCTCTAAACTTTTATTTTTATGACTCTAGATTAAGAAAGGAAAAAAAATTCCCTATGGTTGCCGGATGGAGGATCTTTTCGGTCTTTTTTTTAGACGGAGATGAAGAATGCATTCTCATTACCACCTAACCTCAGTCCCAAACGGAGATTCCTCTATCGCAATCTTGATTCTTTTAATCAGAAAATGTGGTACATAAACATTTCAAAAATTCCCTTAGTCAAGAATGGGGAGGGCGTCCCTACCCGCCGTGCTATCTTACATTACATATATTTTCTCTTTCTAATATATTTTTTTAACTCTCTAATTTTTATTAAACTGGTTTTGTTTTCTATATTTAAGAATTAAAAAAATATAAAATAATTAATAAAAATTAAAAAACAGAAAAATTTAAAACTAAAAAGAGAAATAATTATCAAACCACTTTCTCATATTATGTTTTAATTTCTCATTTCCATTAAAATTATAGTACGTATATTTAAATTCTAAATGGTAATTTAAAAAAACTTAAATTAAGTATCAAAATAAAAATTTGACTCACTTGATGTGTTTTCAAATACTTGTCCATATAAACATCTTAATCTAAATAATTCAAGAAAAAATAACAAAATTAAAATGTTTTTTTAAATGTTAAATTCATGAACCAAAACAATATGTTTAAAAAATAAAAAACTAAAATAGAATAATAGGAAAGTTTTAAGAACAAAAATATGATTTAGAAATTATAAATATGCATAGTTTGGCCCTTTTATTATTTCGTGATTTTTCTCAACTTTGTACTTTGCCTTTTATTAAGTAACAATTAAAAGCAAATTTATGTGAAAACTTCACGATAGATTTCAAAGTTTTTTTTTAGTACAACATGTTGAAGAAGGGATTCGAACTCACAACCTTATAGTTGGATGTATATACCAATTACCACTGAGTTATGTTCGTTTTGACCCCTACGAAGTTTTCAAGGAAAAACTATAAGGGTGAATTATGTGATTTTTGTTCTTTATTTCTCTAAAATCACGTGTAAATACTTTAGTTAAAGAGGTTATTTGCTCTAATTTCTGTTTCATATTTCTCGAAGGTAACTCATAATGGGCCTTTGCAGATGGCCCAACAAAAACTACATGTTGACCCAACAAACTTACCATCTTTTTCTCGATCTTTTTGTATATGCAACTATCAATCTCATTATTATTGTTTTTTTAGTACCATCCATCTTATTATTTGATAAATAGTTTTTTTAATATTAAAATTCAAGTATTAGATGAAAATTTCAACCTTCAATTTCGTTAAATGTTGGGAATAACTTAATTTGGTCAAGTTGATCAGTTGGTGATATATAGTGTGTATATATATATATATATATATATATATATATATATATATATATATATATATATATATGTATATTTAAACATTTCTAATGTTCTCAGTTCTAATCGTAACTTTGTCGAAATATTGTAATATTTAATATTTGACAAATTATATTTGATTAATAAGATTAGTAAAAATTATGAACGATATCAACTTGTTTGATCTAATATTAGGTAAAGAATTATAAATATGAAAATATTTATATTATTATGTACATGACAATTTTTAACGTGAGATAACATAAATGAACCTTTATGAATCCTAAACATTTTTTCCTTTTTTTTGCAAAGGTAAATATATTGAACGAAAATGGAAGATCTCACCACTCGAGATCAAGACACAACATCTAAAGAGCATATACTAGAAAGTAAATCAAGAAAATAAATCACAAGTTGAGATAAATAATTTTTTTTTCAAATGACGTGGAAAAACACATAAACTATCAATTTATCTAGAGCGGAGTTGAAAATGTTTTAGCAATTAGTTAATAAAGTTTACAAGGTTAATAGCATCTCTCTTCTCTTATTTGTTTTATTCTTTTAATCTAATTTATTTAAACGCTCATTCAAAATTAAAGATGAATTTTTGATAAATTTAATAATAAAATTGATTTCGTGGGAGGTAAAAATGAAAATTTCTCAAAATTTTATGTGATGATTTTATTTTTATTTTTATTTTTATAATCATGTTTGTGCTATTTGGATTAGGGCCCATTTCTAAATTCATCGAACCAAAAATTCTCAGATTTCAACTCCATTCGGAATTGTACCACCTAATGGAACGAAAAACAGCCAAAATTTTTATAAACTTTTTTTTTTATAGGAATTTTTTTTAAATAAACTTTTTTAGCTGTAGGCCTAGCAAATTATTTTTCCATTCATTTTTCAATATGATTTCAATTTTTTTTTTTAGTTTAAGATTTTTTCAGTTTGTTTTTAAACATTGGATTTGCATATAACTGTTTCATGGAACTCATTTTTTAGAAATATGCCACGTAACGAGATCACAGCTTTCTTCTTTTTGGCCCTGATTTTTCCATTGATCTTTGGTGGGGTTTAGTCGTTTTTTTTTTCAGATTTGAAATTTAAAAGTGTTAAATTCAAATAAGCCATTAGTTTTTTAGTTTATTTTTATTTTGAATTTGTAATATTCAACTACTTTATTTAATTTTAAATTTATAATCTTCATCTCTCTTAATTATGTTGGTTGTTTTTTACTTGTATCCTGGAAAGAAAAATTCTAAAATCAGTACAACTACTTTGTGTTAGAAATAAATTTATCCAAAATAAATTTTTAGATTCTATATTAAAAAAAAGAAGAAGAAAATTCAATTAGCCATTTGTTTTTGCGCGCCATGGAGAAAGAGAACTCACAGCCAGCCGGAAAAAGGTAATTCAGGAAACGAAACCCTAACCTTGAATTAAAGTCCAGTTTCCTGTAATTTTATTTACAAATATTTTTCTCTGCTAATTAGTTTGATTGTAACTTGTGGGAATATTTTACTGTTTTCATTTTGGAGAAGACTAATATGTTTCTAATTGAGGTTCTGGGATCCCAAAATCGCAATCTCGTCGGTGGAAGATACTGAATTTGAACTATGGAAGACGCTTTTTGACAATTGTCTGGATGTATTAATTAGCAGATTACCGATTCCATGGTTCTCCAAAATAACAGATGAGATAGGTCAATACGGTGTTTCTAATTTTAATCCTATCTTTATTCAAGCGGACCAATGGTTGCGCAACACAATTGCTCATCTTCCTGTTCAATAAATCTCAAAACATTTATCCTGATGCCTTGAATTTACTGTAGTTTAAATTTAGAAGTTTTGTGTGGACGTAATACACGAAACAGCCTGTCAAAAGCATTCAAGTTTTGACAATGACAATGTTGCAGAGTATATCAGCAACTAGGACGGAAATAAATGTAAGGATAAGCAAAGAAAATATCCAATACCCAAAATGTGCTTTTATGTACCAGAATATTCATCTATCTGTTATTTGCTTGTAAATCACAATTAAGGTAACAATAAATGACGAAATCATCTATTGATCTGTGAATCCTTATGATCTGCTGTGGCTAACTTTTGTCTAAGGTTCAACAATTTACATCAATGATTATGTATTTTCCTCTGTCCCTAAATGTTGGCTTACATGACTAATGTTGGTTTTGAACTTATGATTTGTTTGGTTGATTGTATGGATATGGATGGAGAAGAGGAGAGAGGAGCAGCTGAGCTCAAGGCAGTGACTTCAAAATCCTAATATTCTTCTAAGCTGTTATACAACTCAGTATGCAGCATCAAGGAAACCAGAGGTTACGGATCTTACTTTACCAATTTTCTTGCTTCTTTATTGGGGCTTTGATCTGTCTCTTTTATTTCGAAAAGAAACTGCATGTGTGGACTGGTATATTTTTTACAAATGTTATGGTATACAATTAATAGGGCTATTTACTCAATGTTGGACCATATTCAAAGCTAAAGTTGGCAGTGATGAAATAGTAGTAAATTAAGTGTCCCCACGGTCTTGTCCACAATATATGAATGCCGGATCTGTAAAGCTTTGCTTCTCACACCTCATAAACAAAGCATTTAAGTTAATCAAATTGGCCTTTTCTTTTTTCCTTCATGGACCCCCCTCCCTCTTCTGTTGCCCCAAATCGTTCATGATTCACCTTCACTAGCTTTGAGTCCATAATCAATAAATTGCTTCCGCATTCAGAAGGTTATGAAAGTACCCTTTACCACTCTATTGTAAGAAACTTCTTCAAAGGAGCAGCCCAGGTCTCAATTTCTCATTAAAGTGCTTGCCGGATCTGGATTGCTGATGAGTAAAGGTTGAATTATAGGGATGCTTGGGTCATTGGGTGATGTATTTCCAGAATCCCCTTAATAATTAGATCCCTTTTTATCCGTTTCTTTTATGTGGAAAATATAGAATGAATGGTTCAAGCTAAGTTCTGAAAGTAGAGCATAGTTGAGTCCACTATTAGATGAAATAAGGATCCGTATGTTATACTGAATATGTACTTATTTAGCAGCCGAATATGGGGTTTGGATTCATTACCAAGGTTAAGTTCTGAGGTCCATACTTCTTCCATCAATCACCCACTCATTTATTTTAGCATTTACAATTTGGGAACAAGTAGGACATATACAAGCTATGACAGTGAAAGGATTATAAAGTTGGACTTAAAATGACCATTGTACCCTCATTGTCTTTTAGGCCTGTTCATTTAACCCTTGTAAGTGAAACAGAGCAACTCTGATTTTTTGTTGCCTTAACCCTCTGCCAAGTTCTGAGTTAGTTGCAGCAATGTTAGCACATAATAAAGGCCGTTAGCTCTGAAGTGATTATTGTGAAGCAAATACCTTCTGAAGGATCATTTTATTGGGACTCTGTAAAAATAAAAAAAGAGTAAAAAAAAATTCTAGTAATGCTTCCGGTGCTTTATACAGTCAATTCTTTGTCTGCTGCGTTTTAAGTATAGTATTTAATTCACATGTCAATCATTAATTATTTGTATGAAGTTTAAATTATAATGTAAAATGCAGTGTTTTGAAAGCTTAGAATTCTTCTATGAATGTCCAATTGTTAATAGAAGCTCAGAAAGTATGTCTCGTGTCGATGCGTAAGTGTGATCAGTGCATAATCTAGTCAGAATGATCGGTATCTGTTATTTCAAACAATCATTAATTGCATATCTTCAAGTTGGATTCATGTTTGTGCTTGTATTTTTCCAGCAAATAGGTGTTTCAAATGTCAAAGCTGAGTTGGAGGGATTCTGAGAAGTTGATGAAAACATTTGGAGCCCCAGAGACAATAGGTTAGTAGTTCATTGAAATTATTGTGTAATAATTTTTTGTCAATAAACAGATTAGCCTTATAGAGTTGAAGTGTTGTAGAGGTTGACTAAAATCTATTAAAGAAACTGCTTCAGTATACTGTTAAGTTCATTGGTTTTGGTACTCTTGGGAAATTATATTTTTAGGGATTTTTAGGTTTGTCTAGGCTTCAGATTAGACTAATAATTAGAGCGTTCATTAAAATAAACCCGTACTTATATTTAATCACATCATCAATATTTACTAGAAATGCTAAACTCGTGAAATAAAATGAATTTTCAAGAGTTATTGTGGCTAAGTATAGGTGATAGTAGTATGATATTATTGAAGAATAGTAGTGTATATAATTTTTGGAAACAACATTAGTATAAAAATTTTCCAATAAGGAGACTGTTTGGGTTATTGTAATTGTATTTATTATTGGTAAAATCATGAAATTAAGGAAAAACATGATTTGTAAATTTACAAACCACAGGAGTGTCTGAAGTAATTTTCAAAATTTACGGGCATGATTTGTAATCATCAATAAAATTAATTATCAAATAGACGTCAATTAAAGGGTCGCCACATAAAATTAATCTCCTGTGTAATTTTGTAATGATGTAATAATTTCGTTGAAAACAATGTTTATGAAAGAATAAAATGGACATTTTAGGGCCCATTTAATATTTATTTCGTGATATACAAAGTTGTTTTTGTTATTGGAAACTACCAATGTAATTAACATATAGGTTTGTGATTTCTCTCTCTTTTTTTAAATTATCATTTCTTCATTTCCTTTTAAAATTTTTGTTATTCTTCATTCTTTTAATTAAGTAAACTTGATAATACTTTATTTTAGAGATCTCATATTTAAATCAAAATTAACATTCTTTTAAATAATTGAGTTTCAATTGCAACAAACTAAAAATAAAACTGCCCTTACTGAGCCATATTAACCAACAGTTAATCTTTAATCAGCATTTACTGCCAGTAATGCTTTACTGTATTTTTTACTTTGATTTATTTTGATTACTTTATTCTTAAATTTTCTTTTTTATTTTAGTCTTACGTACTTTTAAAACATTTATTTTGATCGTGTATTTTAAAAAGGGAGCCAACATCTCTATTTACAAAAGTTTAACATAAATTTTATATATAATAGAATTTTTAATACAAATTTATAGCTATATTTTAATCGGAAAAAAATGAAATAACCAATTAAGTTACTTTTTAAAGTACATAAATCAAAATAAACATTTCAGACTAAAATGAATAAAAATAAAAAATATTGAGATCAAAATTAGCAGATACTCTGAAATAGTATTTAAACCAAGTTTTTTTATTTGCTACGTAGAGACCTTTGTTTGGGAAAAACTTCGACTGCCGTACAAGAGCGAGCCGCTTCTTTTTTTTTTTTTTTTTTATTGTTCAATTTTTATTTGGAAGAGAGATTTTTCGGTTGGAATAATTTGTCAACACACCAATAAATAAAAGATGTCTTCTTTTTCCTTTTCCTATTTTTATATTTAATGAATATATGGGTCCGGGTTCATAATTTTTAAAATTTAAAAAAAAAACATGTATGATTTCTATTTATTGATGTGTAATTGTTTATTTTTTTCTTTTTCATCTACAAGTTTTTATTTATTTATTTAAGTTTGTAACGCTCTTTGTCCTTGTAAATGATTAAGAGGAAAAGTCAAATGTACCCACAACCACAATTCAATCCAGACTGACACCACCAATTAAAATTTTTTATGCAAAAATAAAAAAAAAGTAACAAAAATTGATATATACATCGTAAAAGAAATCAAGCGGATCATGATTCATTTATCTGAAAAATTCTTTCTAAAATATCATTTCCATTTTCAAAAATTTTTAAAATAATGATTATTTATAAAACTTTTTATTTACTTGTGTGTTTAAAGTGCTGTAGCTTTTACGAGATCCCAATCATTTTATTTCTTTCCAAGTTGCGGTGTTGATGAATGATCTTACTAGTAGATGGAAAAATATATGAGGTCATATCACACATTTATTGAATCTTACTCAATAATTACTAAAAACATATTATTGAATAGGATTCAATAATTATTCAAAATTATTAAATGATTATTATGGTTTATATAAATTGTGAAAGAGAAAATGTCTCTTATATAGGGAAAACAGGTTTGAAATTTTTTATTAGAGTTACTCCGCCAAAAAAAAGTTTGTTGTTTTGGAGTTTCATTTTACATGATTATTTACCTATACATTATTCAAAAGCAATTAATAAGTCTCTTAAACTTTTATGATTGTGTTTATTTAATTATATATATTTTAAAGTCAACCGGAACATAATTCAACTAATTAAAGTATATAAAAAAAATCGTAAGTTCGAAAATCCATATATTTCGAAACATTCTTAATAGCCTCTAATAAGTCCAACTTCCATTAGTTTTATACATTTCCATTGTGCACACTAACTATATATTATTTAAAAATTATATTGATATCAACCTACCACGTGATCCATAAATAATACACAATCTAACATGATCATTAATATTAAACGAATTATATGCACAAATAAATTAGATACAATTTTCTATACTTATAAAAGAATTTGGAACTAAATAGAGACTAAACCAATATAATTACAAAAGTTTAGAACCAAAATTGTAATTTAGCATACTAAAATATATTTATTTTAGAAATCAAGTTTAAAGTTAATAAATTTAATTTTTCTCTTGAATTCATTACGTAAAAGACTGTTAAAAAATGTGACATAATAAGATTAGCAACCATCAAAATTCAAGATAAGTATTTTAACTGTTCAGTTAAGCTAAAGTTGTCAACGAAAAAGGAACATAAAAAGAAAGGAAAGAAGAAAAGAGTGCATGGGTGTTAATTAATAACAATAAGCATAGAAAAAGAAAGATTACAATATTTTGTGATATATGAGATAATTATTTAAAATTTGCTCTCTAGTTGTGCTTGTGGTGTGTGCATTTATTTGTGTCTTCCCATTTATGCTGCTGGCCATTCTCTTCATTAACAAACACACACCCTGCTCCTCTCTTAAATCTTCATTTCTCTCCTTCGGGATTTGCTAATTCCGAGAGCAGATATAGGCAAATGGGACGATCGCCATGTTGTGATAAGGTGGGGCTGAAGAAAGGGCCATGGACTCCTGAAGAAGACCAGAAGCTCTTGGCTTACATTGAAGAACATGGCCATGGAAGCTGGCGTGCCTTGCCTGCAAAAGCTGGTCAAACAATATATAATATTTCTTCTTCTTCTTTCTTCTCTAAAACCTTCCCTTTAATTAATTCTCTCTGATTTATGTATGTGAAATCTTTTGTTTTTTGTAGGGCTCCAAAGATGCGGCAAGAGTTGTAGGCTGCGATGGATTAATTACCTAAGGCCTGATATAAAGAGAGGCAAATTCAGTTTGCAAGAAGAACAGACCATTATTCAGCTCCATGCTCTTTTGGGGAACAGGTACAATTTTCCTTCCTGGTTTGGATTCAAAAAAGTTTTCATTTTTCTCATCCGAACACAAGAAAAGAAATAAAAATTCCATCTTTTAGTTTAGCTTTCTTCTTTCGGCCTCGGTCTTTGAATTTTATTTCGTGTTCTGGGCTCCTTCTGCTGTCTCGATTTTCACTACTTTGGGTTTTGTTTTTGTACGTCTCTTTTTTGTAAGAAAAAACAATAAATTTGAGGTATCATTTTGCATCATTTTTAGACTTTGCTGTAATATTAACCCCAAAAGAAAAACTTGAATTTCTTTTGGATGAGCTGCACAGGTTTCCATTAAATTTCGAACTGGGGTTTTTCTGTCATTGTATCATCATTAATCTTACGACCCTCTGACACGTGAAAATTTGCTATTTTCCCTACACGGACATGAAAAATGGGGTCTGAAAATTTGTCTTCTAAACCCTCATTTTAGTGGTCACCACACAAACGACCAAACAAAAAACCCTTGTCAAAGTTTTTAGGGAATTCTACGATATTGTTGTCTAGGTTTTATTTTGAAACAACTCTGGTTTTTTCTTGTTGTTCTGTCTGGTTATCATAGGTGGTCGGCCATAGCGACTCACTTGCCAAAGAGGACCGATAACGAGATAAAGAACCACTGGAACACTCATCTTAAGAAAAGATTGGCAAAAATGGGGATTGACCCAGTTACCCACAAGCCCAAAAACGACGCTCTACTCACCGGCGATGGCCAGTCAAAAAGCGCGGCCAATTTAAGCCATATAGCTCAGTGGGAAAGCGCTCGGCTCGAAGCCGAAGCTCGGCTAGTCAGAGAATCAAGGCTACGTAGTTCACATTCACATTCCCTCCAGCAACTTGGGAACCCTCCTTGTTTTGCACCTTCTTCATCTTCTACCTCAACTTCCTCTCAGCTCTTCACCAAAACCGAGCCGCCCGGAATGCCTTCCCGTTCGCTCGACGCACTAAAAGCTTGTTACAATGGTACGTCAAATTTTACATCACCGTTAAATTTTACATCACCGTTGAACCTCTTAGAAACAAGCTTAAGTTAATAGGTTATGATATATTTAATATTTTGTTAATTACTTAACAGGGTGGTCCAGATCCACTGAAGGCAATGGTGGCAGTTTGAGGAGTGGAATTGGTGGGGATCTCGAGTCTCCTACCTCGACACTGACTTTCTCCGAGCACGTGCCCCCAATTATGGCCTCTACCGGCACCGGGGAGACCTCGATAGCAATGATCGAGTTTGTGGGGAGTTCAAGCTCTTGTGAGGGTGGAATTATGAGATCAGGAGAGGGGGAGAGGGAGTGGAAGGAGGAGGGATTTGGAAACTCAACACAATTACCAGAATACAAAGAGGGTTTTGAGAATTCAATGCCTTTTACTTCTCATGATATGACATTGTCCATTGAAGCAACTTGGACAGCTGAATCCTTAAGAACAAGCAACAATAACAATGGACATGTCCATGGCGCTAGACAAGAAATTGCACAAGATCAAGGCTTCACTAATCTTCTTCTTAACAACATAGATGAAAGAAGCCTTTCTGATGGAGGAGGAGATGACTCTGAAAATGGGAGTGGCAGTGCAAGTGATTGTTATGAAGATAACAAGAATTACTGGAATAGTATTCTTAATTTGGTCGATTCTTCTCCCTCTGATTCTTCAATGTTCTGAAAAAAAGGGATCAAATTTGTTAGAGATTTGGAAAGTGAGGCTCAAGAATTTAGCTGGGTTTCAATTTTTATTAGGAGGGCTTCAAAAAGAAATCAATATTGTAGGGGAAATGGTTGAAGGGCCAAACTATTGCAGATTTTAGTTGCATCTATAATTGTCGACTCTCGTAAATGTGTAATAAAAATGCTTTCATCTGCTTCAGAGTTTTGCCAAACTATGTCGGTTCTTGAACATCTATATTTATTGTATGTATAGAGCTAGTCCACCATCAAATTTAATTGAAAATAGGTGGCTTTAAAATTTCTGTTGAATAATAATTTATACACTAATTTAATGAGGATTGAAACTAGTATTTATGAAAATTTGAGGATCCAAAACAATATGGTATTAATTAATTTGAAGTATCAAATGGTTTAACAAATCAAAATAGACCAAAGCGAGCGTAGTTCAACCGTAATTGAGCTATATCTCTCGCTAATAGGTTATGATTCTAATCTCCATCCCATATATTATATTAAAAAAATTTCAAAATAAGATTTAATTCGACCTTGAGTTTTTTCTTTAACATTATATTGTAGTTGTCATATTATCTTCTTCTAACCAAAATATAAGATCAAACATGTTACAAAGAAATTAAATAATGAATAATGGTAAGAAATAGCATTTTCTAATTTGTTTTAATAGTATTTTTCAATTTTGTAACTTTTTCCTTTAAATTTAGTCTTTGTCACTCTCTTAATATCTTCTTTGTCACTCCATTTCTCGACCTCTCACGACTCAATCTCTCTTCGTCTTTCGATCTCTTTTTGATTTTGATCTCTCTTCTTCGAGTCAAATTATTAATTTATTATTCCATGTGGATATAGTTTTTCACGAATATCGATATATACTCAATTGAGTACTCCATGTGGTGGATTTCATGGTAATTGAATGAGTATATTCATTTCAAAAAAACAAACACATACTTCAATATCAAATCATATTTCTACTTGATTTGGTATATGTTCACTTGAAACAAAACGTTCCATATATATATTATCGTTTTCATGTAAAAGTGAGAACAAAAGTACTTTTATATATCATTAGGACAATACATCATATTGAAACGACACATAGGGATAAAAGAAAGATAATCTACGGACATTTAGGTAGAATAAGATCAAACCACATATATATTTTGCAATTAATAAAAACTTGACAAATGAATTAATTATTGTTTCACAAGAGTGTGAGAAACCCAAAACAATACAATAAATAATAGCTGTGGAAATTAAGGAATCACTTTTTGCAGCTTTCTTGTGGATTAGGTAATTTCCAACTTCTCCCATTGGTAAAATCCAAAAACATTAGATATAGACAGGTCAAATGTAGAGAGGTGCCAATAATAATGCAATTTACTCACCTTGGTCCCATTTTCTATTTTTTCAGTTCTAAACTCTTCTGAACCATGAATTCTGACCCATTTTTCCCATTTTTTATTTACGGTTTTGTTTCGTCACTCAAACACTTGGAATCGAATTTATTTTTTCAGTTCACCGATATATATATAAATGAAAGTAGAGATTTAAACCTCTGACTTTTAGCGGATGTTATGATCCTATCGTAATTAGTTAATTATGCTCATATTGAACTGCTTGACATTGGTTAGATATATTATTTCCTCAATTAAGTTTTAAAACTTTAACTTTTATAAAAACTCATTTTAGTTTGCCATTAATGTTAAAGATTTACTTATTTTCAAATTTGGCGTATAACTTTGATATGATATGTTAAACAACTTACTACATAATAATTTAATGATAATTAAAGATTAAAATGGATCTTTTATGTAAAGGCTGAAGATGAAATATTTTAAGTTTTAAACATTAGACGTGGAATCTACCAATCAAAATATGATTTAAACTTCTCCATCATAATCATTATATTATTTTCCTCGAAAACGAAGTTAGATGTTTTAAGCACATTTATTAAGTTTTGGGTCAGAATTGGGATTTTATAAAAGCAAATGGTCACCTATATATTGATCTTGATGTAAACCAGATTTAATTTCCCTTTTATATTTGTTTGGCAGGCCCCATCAAAAGGGAAAATTGATTCCATCAAAAAAAGTTTTAAGACCATATTTTTCTCTTTTTTAGACTTTTGAAGAAGAAAAAAATCTTAAAAAGCTTATTCTTTTTAGCAGTTATAGAAGTTAAGATAAGAAGGGAAAAAAAAAACGAGGGAAGGATTTAATACAGATAGCGAGAAAATAACTCTACACCTCTTGAATTTGAGTAAAATGATAAGAAAAAATAATAAAATAAAAAAAAGTATTATAATTTATTTACTTTCTGCCAACTGGAGGATAAAATAAAAAAATCTTAATTTATTCGCTTATTATTCAAAAGGTTAAGAGGTTCAAATCTCATATCCACCATGTTTGGAATAAAAAACAATATCCATGGATTTAACTATGATTTTGTAAAGATAAATAATTGATTTTATAATGGAATTTCAAACTAAAAGAATAAAAATAATTAGAAAAGACTTCTAGAGGTTAGATTTCACTACGTGAATCATCTTAATTAGAAACAGGTTGCCCTGAATTAATTTCTTTAACTTTAATTTATTAATCTCTATGACTCTAATTTATCTCAAGGGAGGTATTAAGCTGATGATTTAATTTGGAATTTTAATTTTTTTGTTGGGAATTAAAAAGATTAGGAATGTGTTTGAATTGATTTTTAAGAGGGCTTTTTTGTTTTCTTTATTAATGGATTCTAACAAAATTTATTCGAAGTTTGAACAAAATACGAGCTTTCAAAAAGATTTGGGAAAAGCATTTAAATTTTGATCCCCTCATTAAATGAGGATAATTGAAGCCAGGCTGTGTTGAGGGCTGGGGGAACGACGACGTTGTATGTTCAATCACAAATAACTTCTTTTATTTTTAATTTTTATAATTATTACATCATTATTAAAAGGTACAAAATTACATTTGTTTCACCTTAATGAGACCTCACATGGCTTCTCTGCAACCAACTGCACATATTAAATTCAGCAAAATACGAGCATGGAACTAAATATACAAATCTTTACTGCCCTCTGCTGTTTTATTTTTCAAACACAAAAAGAATTTTCAATCTCAGCCTAGCTAGTTAACCATGCTGTAAAAGCTTCACCTTTTTCACCAACTAATATGGAAAAAAATATACATATAAAATAAAATTTAAAAAAAAAAATCAGAGAGAATTTTCCACATCTTGGTTCTTAAATGTTGGAAAAGAGACAATTGCAATTCATTAGCTAACCAAAAGGTACAACAACTTCAATCACAAACCAAAAGGAATTGGAATTTGGAATGACTAATCACTTTGTCTAATCTCACTAAATCATCCAACTAACCTTATAACATTCAAATACATAAGATATTAATTATAGCGTCCCAAGTGTGTTATCTTAATTATGATTTTTAAAAAATATTTAGTTTTGTCTCTCAAAAAATATTATATTTTAATTTAGAGGTGTTTGGCTCCTAGTTTTGCCTGAATATATTAAGTTCCATTTTTAGTTTTTTTCCTAAACATAAATAAATGATTTTATCTTGATTTATAAAATGTGTAATAAATATAACATGCAAATTTTAAAAAAAAAATTAATTTTTTAATTTTAAATTTTAAAGAAATTGAAACAAAAACATCACGAAATAGACCCTTAAGCATTTGTGTTTGTTAAAAAAGTTTAAACAAATTTTGGGTTTACCTAATATTTTGGACTTAGGTCAACAACATGAACTTAGCTACATCTTGCTCCTTCTCTAAAGATTGGGGATTCAATTCTCTATTTCCATTGAGACAACATATCTAGAAAACAAGAAAAAACAAAATATATTGCAAGTCTGAACAGAACCTGTGGATTGAGGAGCTAGAAAACTCGAATTTAATAAACCAGAAAACTTTGATTTTATAAAATTGCCAGAAAGATAATAGTTAGTGACTAAGCCCTTCTCTATACATGAGATATGTATATACATATATGCAATGGAAAATATCCAAAAAATAAAAGTCAAGTGCTAAGAGCTTGGCCATGGGAATTTAAATAGCCATGACAAAATCAAAAAACAGAATCCTCCATGTGTACTTTTCCATCACGCTGGTGTCTTTGATGTAAGGAAGAATTGGAGCCACAAGGTCATCTCTTGTTCAACTCATTGGAGCTTTCATCCGACAACTGCTATGATTGTTTTTTAGACTCTCAGCTATTTCTCAGTGTAAACTTTTGCCTACTTACAACAACCACAGTTTAATGAGTGGCATAAGTTTCCATCTTTTGAAATATCATCTATATAAGTATATATAAAAGAAGGTCAGAACTCAACATTGACATGAGATGAGTTCTGATAATAGAAAATGAACCATTACACGGTACCGTTATGATAATGCAACTAGTCAAACCAACCTCTTCGGGTAAACTCTGAAGTTATGGAACTAAAATAAAAATAACTCATAGGTCAAATTTCCTCAAATGAATTACTTTGCCACCTAACAAAAAGGAATTTATTAAAGCTAGGTGAGATGTTTATCCCGCAGATGGCATAATATCATTTGAAAATTGTAAGGGCATTACAGGCAGCAGAAACATGTTACTGTTTCAGCTGCAAAGCGGATCCCATCTATGATGTGTGCACAATGAGACTAGGCTCTCGATATTGAACAACACAGGGCCACAGTTCTCGTGCAAAATAATAGACAAACTTCTGTCTAAATGAATATTACCAAACCATAAGCAGCCATCTCCATAAGGGTCATCAATATTAATGACATTAATAATAACATAACCACACACTACATTTTAAAGACAGAACAGAAGTCATGTACATGGTGGGAAGATAGAAGATTTGTGGTAATCCGTAATTACCCTCTATATGATATATAGCGTTTACAGTAAAAAGAATTGGCTGTGAACTGACTAAAAATCAATCTTCCTTTCCCAAAGTACACTATCAACGTTGAGCAACTCTTGGGGGCCTTGGATTAAAGCAATCGATACTTGGCACGAGACCCCTCGAGCTGCAAACGTAAAAAATTAATTAGAAGCTTCTGAGCTATGATGTCATAAGATCATACAGAAGTCTTAATCATCGAACTGGTGAAAATGAAATGATAAGAAGATGTATTTAATGCAATTCGTGAATGTGAGGGCATTACAGGCAGCGAAATACATTTAAGCTTAAGCTGCAAAGCGGATCCCTTTTATTGTTGCACATTGAAATTTGGCACCAATAATACAATCATCAAGGAGCCTCAGTACCAGTGCTATGTAGCTAAATGAAGAAACAGTGAAACAATTAAGTTATCGTCCTTGCCAATTCATATGCAACATACATTTTCAGAAACTTTTTAGCCGCAGAAATCCCCAAATTTTCATGACAAAAAGATCATATACCGACAAGCAAGCATCCATACATAAATTCTATGCTCTCACCCCCCAATCCAATCCATTTTTAAGGTTCACAAATTCACTTTATAGGAAGCTTTCTGAAATGGCAAGCGAAAAAAGAACTCAAATATCAACTCCAGCATATTGGAGACAAGGATCTACAGCATTTACACTCAGCACAAAGATAAGAACAGAGCATACTGGAGACGCATTCTCAAGCGAATCATTGACCAAATTCGGGCATAGAAACTAGAAAATACCTTATCTTTGCTATCTGGGGATCAAAACTTCAGCGACTGGATGTCGAAAGCTGAGGTTGGCGATGGCATTGGCATTTAAATACAGCGATCTCTGAAATTAGGGCATCGCAGGGGAGCCTCCCGCCCAAACCCTAATCGTAAAGGTTAGATCAGCCGCTTAATTGAAATTTATATCTTTGATTCCGAGGCGCTAGAAATCGACGGTGGTGATGTAATGTTTGGTAGGGACGGACGGCGAATAATTATAATTAAAAAAATTTTAGAAAAAAGAAATTTATGGCCACATTTATAATTTATTGACCACAACTTGTCGTATTAAAAAAATATTATTGACCACATTTATAATTTATTCATTTCAAATAAACAAAAAAGAAAAAGTTAGACCCATTTTTCATATTTTTTTTTTGTTTTTTAAATTTAAGTTAGAAAGTGTATATATATCTTTTCGGAAAAAAAAAACAAAAAGTGTATATATAGGAAGAAAATTTATGGATGGAATATATATATATAGACACACACACTTACTGCATCATGCAGGGAGTTCAATTTTTTTTTAGGAATACAAAATTTAATTATAGTTATATGTATTCATGGTTAAATTATAACCCACCAATTAAATTACAAATATTTTTGAAGATAGATTACCGTAGTCAATCAAAACTTACATCAGTAAATTAAGACACATATATCCAACTATGAAATTGAGAATTAAAATCGGTACGCACGTGTAAAAAAATATATTAAATATATTACAAGATAAAAAAGAGTCAACCTATACATTATTTTAAAAAGAAGAATAACCTTTAAAAAATGGCTTTTGAGTTTGGAAACACAAACAGTATTAGAAGCATAAAAGAAAGCATAAGATACAAAAAACGCATAAATGGAATCTGACAAAGAAGTTGGCACAACAAATAATTTTATTCTATCTTTCATCTTTGATTTTCCCTCTGGTTCGCTCTCACACGCAGAAATTGACCCCAAATTCTACTCATTCTCCCCAATTTTCCATTGCCCGCGATCTTCAACTCCAATCTCTCGGTCTTTCGGCTATGAAATTTGGGAAGGAATTCAAGACCCATCTGGAACAGACGCTCCCCGAGTGGAGGGACAAGTTTCTCTGTTACAAGCCCCTCAAAAAGCTCATCAAACATTACCCCAATCTCCCTTCTACGCCTGCTCCGATACCCACGAACCATTCTCTCAATTTTCTGCTTCCGCCCCTTCAAGGGCGCGTTTTGTTTGACGATTCCGTGGCTGCTGCGTCCTTGGAGTCCGTTCGTGGCCACTGTGAGACTGGTGCTGGTTCTCTGGCCGACCTCCAGGATTGGTTCGTTAGGATTCTCAATGAAGAGCTGGAAAAGTTGAATGATTTTTACGTTGATAAAGAGGAAGAGTTTGTTATTCGCTTTCAGGTTGTTTTTTCCCCTTCTTAATTTGTCGATTTCTTATTGAACTTGCATGCCTGTTGGTCTAGTAAATATATTTATAATATCTGTGTTCACTGTGATATTACTTTTTTTGTGGGGCATTTGAGTTTTTAAAGAAATCTCGAGTGCTAAGAAAGATTATAAGAAAAGCAGTGTGTCACACTTATGACAATTGAAGGGAAATTAAGTTAGTACTTATGGACTTATGAATGAAACAAGACACCTGGAAGAGGCTGGAAGGATTTTGTTTGATCTTCGATAAGGGTTGTCATAAAGGCAGGTTGAGAAGTTAGATGTCATAAAGGGTTGTCATAAAGGCTTGTGTGAAAAGTTAGATGTCTCTAATTATGGGTTGGTTTTGTGGTCATTAAGGTAAGTAGAAGAAAGTAAAGAGACTTTAGGAGAATGGGTTCAGACTCATGGTGTCCACCTCATCATTCAAGTTTTTTGACAAACAAATGTTATGGGATCATGCAAGTGTCCAATGAGATCAGTTGAACTGTGCATAAACTGACCTAGACACTAAGGAAAATGTTAGATGTCTATGATGAGATTATAGTTAATATTTGACTGTCACCTACCTAAAATATTAATTCTAGAAGTCTTTTATGAAAATGGTATAAGGTTAGAAAGTTGGGAGAACTAGTCAAGGTGTGTATAAGCTGATTTAGACATCTACGGTTATAAAAGAAATAAAAAAGATAATGGAAAAAAGAGACTGGATTCATGGTGAAGAAAAATATACATGGTGAAGGTCAGAATTTGAAAGATTAATGTCTCTCCTAAATTGTTATAGAATCAAAATCAAGGAACCTAACTGAAGTGATGGAATATGCATAGTATGTCCCATATTTTGGATGATAGTAGGAATTAGGCCATGCACGACTGCAGTCACATCACATTGGTCCTGTTAATTGAGGTTGTAAAATGTATGAGAACAAGCTTCTGCTATAGTTGCTATCTCCCTCGATTAAATACTATCAATGGCAGATTTATCCATTAAACCTTTATTTTTACCTGTAGAATCTCTAAATTTTGTCTTATAGAATTTTCCAAAATTAGACATGCAAATGAATAGCCATCACCTTGATTCTTGAGTCTTAGAGCCTACAAATGGGTACCAAAATTTATTTCCTGCATTCAGCAAGGTTATGTTCAACCAAATCTCAAATTTGCACTGGTTCTTAAAAAGCATATCTTGTTTCTTTTGCAGCCTGTGCATTTTTTTATCCATCTTCTTATATGTTGTATTTTAACCTGCTGAACAGCTCTCTTCATCTACATTTCTCATCTACTTTTTCGAAAATAGAAGAGGATTATGTTGATAAAATATTAAAATGTAAACCCTGTTTGCCGTATTGATGGTTGGTATCAATAGTATTGATGTGTTTTGTTGGTGGCGTACAGTTTGTTCAAGTTTTGGAAGTCCCTTCTGGAAAAGAATTGAAAAAAAATAATAGAATGAAGGTTCATTTTATTTCAAACGTTAAGTTTTTCTGATCTTCTGCACCTAATATTTTCCCAATTCAACTTCTGCACTTAAAGATCTATCCATTTCTCATCCAGCATAAGAATGTCAGGCAGAAGGAAAGTCAACATTTGCCAATAGTGTTGTTCTGCTTGGTCGAACGCAAGATTGATTGATAGTATCATATTGCTCTTATTTCTGGAATAAATTCTTGGACTTGTTTTAAGTTGTTCTCGTTTTCGAGGGAAAAAAAACTTTTATTTTCCTTTTTTGGAGAAAAATTAGTTTTCATTAAAAACTAATTAGGTATATTTTAATAAAACATAGAATAGTGGTCAATTCAAGCATGTTTGAGGTGGATAAGGCACATATTATCGTTCTTAAGGTTGATGGTTCAATTCCCTACTCCACAATTACTAAATTCCTCAAAAAAGAAACATAGAATAGTGGAAAAACATTGATTTTGTTCTCTGATCAGTTTTTAATTATTTGAAAACCAATTCCAGTTAACATTCTACTGATTAGTAACCAATTTATCAAAGTTTGAAACTGTTTTTGTTCTTTTAAACACAAAAAGCTACATCATAGTTAACTTACTTTCTAGAAATTGGAATAGAGTAGATTTCGTATCTTGAAAGGAAAGGTTTCTAGCAGTTATAAACTTATATTACTATATCTCTCTGAAGATACTTGAATTCAATTGGGACAGGAGCTGAAGCAAAGAATTGATCATGTCAAGGAAAAAAGCAGCAGGGAAGGTGTTTTTACATCTGAGAACGAATTCAGTGAAGAAATGATGAATATTCGTAAGGACTTCGTTGCCATTCATGGAGGAATGGTGCTTCTGAAAAACTATAGCTCCCTGAATTTTGCAGGTAAATGGCCTCCGAGGTAAAGCTGTAGATCAATCAATAAAGATTTTAGCTACTGCATTATAAACATGCATTTTTCTTAGGAATAGAGTTGTAAGTTGGCGTCCAACTCTAGAACACTAACACTGAATTTTGGTCCCCAGTGCTAGTGCATTAGATTCTTTTGAACCACTCTTTTCTTTCCCTTCCAAAACCAGATATAACTCTGATATTAGAAGCGTTTTAACTATGGATTGTTTTCAAATGTGGCTTTAAAGGGCTAATAAAGATTCTGAAGAAGTACGATAAACGAACGGGGGAACTGTTGCGTCTGCCTTACATGCAACTCGTAGTTCGTCAACCTTTTTTTACAACAGAACTTCTAACAAGTCTGGTTCATCAGTGTGAGGCAAACCTAGAGCTACTCTTCCCACTGGAAGCAGAAGTAGTTGAATCTACCCCATCTCTACAACTTGACTCAAACCTTATACTGGATGACACAAAAATTACCACAGCCAAGACACCTTCAAATCTCGGCGACGAAACTGAGGATTTACATCGAAGTATTGTTGCTGCGATGACAGCCATTCGTGGCTTACAAAAAGAAAGCTCCACAAATAACCCTTTGTCATTTTCTTCTCTCTTTAGGAATCAGGATGACGAGAGTACCGGTGCTGTGACAGATGAAAACTCTCCCTCTAACTCTTCAGCTTCTCTGCCTAATGGCAATGAAGATGATGAATAGGTTTTTTTCCCTCTGTATAACTGAATTTTGATATCCTTCTGTACACAAATTAGATTTGAATGAAAGATATCTAATTTTTCAGTCAATGTATAGAATTCAATTGGCTGACACAAGTTTGTGGAATCTGGTGGCCAAAATAAGTTCTCTACTCAATGAATGTGTTTTGAAGAATTGACATGTTCCTGTTATGCCTTCATCTAATGCTGTTCAGCATTGCAAATGAAATTGAATTATCAAATCAATTCTTCTATGTTCCAAGGATCCACTCCATTTGTATGAAAAATCACATCTTAATACCTTTCTTTCTTTTCTTTTTTACAGATTCTCAGGCTAACCTTATTTCTTTCTTTCTACAACAATTTACTTTGTACATTTTAACTACAAATATAAAGAAAACCAAGCCATGTGTAAGAATAAAAAAATCAATCAAACAGTGGTCTTTCATAATTGGGTCCTCATCTCATCGTGGTCGTAGTCGAAAGGAAGCGGCACAGAGTTGAATGCCCTGTACTTCCCGACATTGTTTAGGTGCTCATTCTCCATCCTGATAAGTGCAAAACCAATGTCTTGTAAGTCTTTTAATCCATTCTCTGATTTAAATAGTTCAGTCAAAATTTTCCCTCTGCTGAGATTATCAAGGAACATAGGGCGTACCTGAAGAAATTCCAGATTCCTCGTCGAATAATCTCCAACACGGCAACGATGGCAATTAAGGCTTGCCTATGGAGGAATGGAGCTTCCCTAAAACCTAATACTGACTGCATCCAAGCAAGTCTCAGCAAGATATTCATTACCTGCAAACCAGATTTCAAATAAAAATATCAGGTAAGATACACCATAGCGTCCTCTTCAAGCTACTTTCTGCATTTCTGAAATGAAAGTAGAATGCTGTTTTTCAAGAATAGATCCCAAACAGCCAGTAATGTTCTTACAATTGCTACAAAGTAAACACTTTTGTGGGGTATCAATAGTTTGTCTCTCAACCATGGATTTTTCGAGCCTCGTCGCAGAAGGCCCCAGTCACAGACTATATCCCAATATGTGCCATAAATTGTTGCAATAGCAGAACTAACTGCAGCCAAGTTTCTCCAAGTCATCCCCATGTTCAGATCATTGCCTGTTCTCATTGCAAGCGCAATGACTGTTGAGAAGTACTTTAGTCCATTAAACACATGCATTACATCTTTCTCTTCGAGCAAGCGTCGAAGGCACTGCAAGCATTAAAAAACCTTAGCTCTGATGATTTGATACATTATAGAAGGACATCTATAGTTGTTGAGCAGAAAATCTCTATTAAACCAGTTGATTACCTGGAGAGTACGAATCCAATATGGAATAATCGCAACAACGAAGTAAAAAGCTTCAAAAATCTTGCTCTCAGAGCATGTATTTGATCTTCGTATAAAGTCACCCCACCCATAGTAGCATATATAGAATTCCAAACTTCGGAAGGCTTGCACCTTTATGAAAATTGTAACTGTATTAGCTCTGGTGTATAAAGTTTACCAGGATAATGAAAGATATCAAAATCTTAAAGTTCAATGTCAAACCTGGCTGGTAAGCTGATCTGCCAAGAAAAAGTCTTGGAGGGTAACCTACAGATAAAAGGAAGATTTGAATTAGCACTGACCATACACTTTTCGTTCAAAAGTAGAAATACATATGCGTAAAACTTCTATCCCTCTGACTACCTTGTAGAACGGAGAACAGACCAAATGAAACGCACTACAGATGAGGAAGAAGCGGCTGGAACGGAATATGATGTCAAAAGGACAAAATATTATAAGAAGAACAGCCTGCAACATGAGTTCAGTTCAGACAAGGCCTTTACTATTGATACAATAATGCTGTACAATAGCTATAGCATGAAGACAGATATTTGAGACTGCACTCCACAAAAAATGATGGAGCTTACAGTGAGTAGAGCCAGAGGGATCAATTCAGTTATAGCTTCGAAGCTTTTGGTTTTCGGGTCAATCTCCATGTCCAAATTCGAGAGAATGCAAGCCAATGTTAGCACAGCAAGACCTGAACTCAGAAAAAAGACCTCCCGGTGACCCAACTCTGTTCCTTGCTTGAAGCCAAACATAAATGTGTAATTGACACGGTAACGCCTCCAAAAGTATATATTCGCAGAGTACATCATCATGTGCAAGATGATAAATCCAAAGAGGCTGAAAAAGGAAACATCAATATCAACATATATGAACGTTAAAAGGGCAACAATTATCTCAGCATCAAAATGGTTACTGAAGTTCCTAATGGTTTTTTACAAGGATGACGCCCCGAAACTTCAAAGTGACCTTTAAAATTACCTATAGAGAGGGAATATGTTATCCATGTACTGAGTGCGCCCTTCGCTCTTAAAGATGTTTCTTACGTGTATTATTACACTGATGGCCACTACAAGTGCAAAAGCGCAGCCAAAGAAGAAACCTGCAGATACCAAGAGCATAAGACATTGCGGTGATGTTATCATTGTTTCTTTATGATTCTAATACACACTCTCGGGAAATCCATAAACTCAAGCTTGAAAGAAATTAGTTTCTGTTCTAACAAGTTTTATTACCAGAGAAAAATGTAATTCCATGTCTTTCCCTTCTGATTTTTCTTCTTAAAATGTCCATCCCTCTTCTTCGATTTCCATTTGCAAAGTGCTTAATGAAAGCAGTCTCCACCCTTTCAATTAGCCTTGTAACCTGTGGTAGTACATAAACATTTCGAAGAAGAAAAACTTTCAGGCAAGAATTGGCTGAATAAACCACAGTTTAGTTTCAGGAATCGTGAAAGACCTCAATAGTGCTTCCAAGAGGAGATTTTTCCACCATTTCTAGGTAGGCATTTGATGCTTTGCGTGAGGTAACCTACATCAATAGAATCAGAGTTAGTCAAGGAAAAAGATCATGTATTTCAAGTAAATAAAGGGGTAGCTGTGGAGACCTTATCATACTTCTTCATGATCTTCGAAATGGCCAATGTATTCAAGAAGCTGTAGATCCATAAGGAATAAAACCGTTTATAGTTTGACAAATTCAACACGAAGAAATATAGTTTTCACTATAACATCAAGACTCTTGCATTACCTGTATCCTTTTAGAACTTGAAGCTTTTGGTAGAATTGGATCATGGCACGGGTCATCAATTCTTCTGATCTCCTCAACTCCGTCTTATTATACGATAACCGTGCCTTGGAACTCGTGACCATGTATTTTAATGTTGATACGGGTGTTTCAGGAGAGACATTAATCCGTACATGGGGTAAAAATTCTAGTGAAGCTGGTCTGAGTTCTTTAATTGTAGAAGTTGTTCCTCTACTGGTCTTCCTGCGGTAACTTTTTGCCTCTTTTTCTTCCACATCCTCATCTCCCAAAGCTGCTTCATCCTCCATCTCAACTTCTTGAGTTACCTCCAAGCGTGACCGTCCTTCAAAAACAAGATCTAGACAGTAAAAAAATAAAACCAATAGAATTATCTCTCCCGTCCATAGTTATGCAGGAAGAAAATCCATATTGATCACAAAACCATTGCATTTAACAACTTATGTCTCTTTTCCAACTCTATTAACATCAAAACCAGATCCCAAATTCAAATTCAATGGCTTTTTATTATAAGTTACCTGAAGTTCTGGCATTAATGGAATTAACAGTTGAAGTTGATGAGGCTGCACTGCCTGCAAGATCAACATGTTCATCGACGTCTTCGAATGAGACCTCCGGCTTCTCCACCTTTATCCTTAGAGCAATCAAAATATCCATCTGTTGGCTCAACTCGTCGGCCTCCACCATCAGCTCCCCCACCTTCTTCTTGTAGAACCTCACCACTTTATTGAACTCATCATCAAGTCTCCTAAAGAAAACCACCTCATTCTCCCCCCCTTGGTCCGAGGACATAAAGAACATGCTCTGATAGCTCTCTTCGGACCCGCTCTGCACTATATTTGTAAGTATTGCATCCTCCTGCTTTTTTGGAGAATTCCTTCGCCCTGTTAGCCCACTGAAAGCTCTGTACAAAGATACCTTTCTCTTCAACCGCCCTGCAGCATCACAAGCTTTTGGCTGCCTCGATAGGCTGACATCTTTCAGCACTTCTTTCAGAAGATTGTAATCCAAATAAGCTTCTTGCCATTCTGGCACCATTTGGGACAAAAATTCCTTCCCAAACTTCATCTTTGCTGAACCAAAATCTGCTAGTACGCAGTAGCAGAATTAGTTATATTATATATGAAAAAAGTTTGATATGCCTTTTACAGCTTGAGCTACCCTGCCCATAGCTTATTTGGAGGGTACTGCCATATATAAAAATGGTGGACATTTGACAATTATTTTAGACCTGTCATTCCCTTTTCCTTCATCGTCTTCTTTTTAATAATATTCAATGGAGACTAAAAACAAAAGTAAAGGATTCACCTTTTGACTTTGTCGGAGTCATAAGCTCAGCTTCATGGGTTTTCGTTTTGGGCAAGGAATGAAGATTCCTTTTCATGTTTGGCTGTTTTGATTTGGGGTTCGACCAAACTTGCGTTCAACATTCGCAGAGTAAGAAAACTTAGGAGCAGCGTTTGGAAATCGTCGGCTACAGAAGAGTAAAAACAGTGAAAAATTCGTACTGATTCGAGAAGGGGATGTCCCACATTATCGCCGCAGGGACAAGTTGGTACTGCAACGCGTATGGATAAGGATTGCAACACTGGCGACATCAAGTACGCACTCGAAGTTGGACAGCACCGATTTGTCGATGTTGATGGCGATGCGAATTTTCCAGGAAAATTAGAACAGTGGAATGTAGGCAAATTTGAAAGGTTCAGCAGCAAGAGGATCTTAAAGCATAGGCGGCGCGGCCCAGCTCAATAAATAAATAATAATACTATAAATCATAGCATTAAATACATTTCAAAGCTGATACGATTTTAGTTCAACACTAATTAACGAACGAATAAGAGGTTCTTAAGATCGTAGAAATATGGTTAAAAAAGATTTATAATTAGGGATGCTATTTAGAGACTATAATTACAAAAAAAGATTGAATGATATAAAATTTACATTCACCAAATTTACTAATATATCCTTTCGCATCTCACCTCAATATTAATTAATTTTAAAAATCCAAAATTGGCTACTTGGGAGGTTACATTTTAAATCCCTTAAATTTTGAAATATCAAATGCTTAAAATCCTCCATTATTGAAAAAATTCGAAAACCTTATTCCTCCGACTTTTCTTCTTCTTCTATCGTTCTATTTTCGTCCATTCCTTCGTCTCCGACCGCCGACTGCGTTCCTTCGTCATCGGAACAATCCGTCTAGCTTCTCTTTCATCTCCGACCGCCCGTCCATTGTTTCTGTCCGTTTATCCCGAGGTTTATTTTTTGTCGTCGGCTGCCCGATCATTCCAGCCCTCCGTTTATCCCGGCCATAGTCTAGTCGCCGATCGAAAGGTTTATAGATTATTTGCTTTATTTGTTAATTGCAGAGGGATATAGTCGTATATACTTTATAGCCAGATATAGGTTATATCTCCTATGTTATAATGGCTCTAGTTTATATCACCATTGTTAAGTGCATGTTGCTTAAGTTTATAGTCCGATATAGTTTGGCCAAAAAAAGCAATAAAATGAAAAAATATTTGTAATAAATTTTATTATTTAGTAGAATATATTAAGGAATAAATTTGCGGATTATGATAATAATGGAATATTTTGTAATAAATTTCATTTTTTAGTAGAATATATTAAGGAGTAAATTAGGGAATTAGGAGAATGATTGATTTAGGTCCTACAATAATTTAATGTTTACAAAATCAAATTTGGAATATTAATCTTTTACATTTAAATAAAAAACAAATTATAATAAATATAAATGCCATAAGGGCAAATTTGACATTTAAAAAAGTTTTAAATCCAGAAATCTAAAACGATAAAATTTGTAGACATTGGATGATTTGTGAAGATAAGTTGGCAAAATAGCTTATCTAAGACATTATATCTTATAATTATTACCTATACTAATAAATTGTATCTTCCTTTTTAGTTGCTCAGTCATAGAAATTTTGAAGCGTGCATAACTTGGAGTAATTTTCGTTTGGGTGATCTCCTAGTTTATTTACTAGAAAATATGTGAGTGAGGATAAACTATAATAGGACTCGTGTTGTCCCTCTCCAATACACGATGTGATTCGGGGACGAACTAAACAGAAGCTTGTGGGCATGTGACACCCGAGATTATGAGTTCGAATCCCCACTACTAAAATAAGATTGTTTGACATTTTCATAATAAGTCAAAAATAAATTTTAACATAATATTGGTAGAAAGAAAATTTTTAAATGAGATGCTTATTTGTTATATATACACTTTTATAATGTTTTAAAAAATATTCATCCAAATCCTTGACAATAATGAAGTGAAAGAAGGAAAAATTATATTTAATTCTTAAATTTTTATAATTATGTTTATTAAGTCCTTAGCTTATGAATTTTCGAGTCCTACTAGTGTAACTCTTAATACTTGCTTTGAACTTATAATTTTGTTTCTAATAAGTGAGTTCAATTTTATGGTGGCTACCTACTTAAAATTCTAGCGTATTCTAATAAGTTGACATTTAGTGTATTTTATGATGTAGAATTTTGCAAGCAAGATGAATCTAGGAGGGCATAAACTGACCTAAGCACTTATAGCTAGACATAATAAGATCATATTCGTGTCCAATGAATCCTACATTAACTTTGTTAATTTGACGTTTACTACTAATGTCAAGCTTGCTCAAAATTAGCTCACTATTTTTAACCGATAGAAGCAATAATATGGCACATCAAATGTTAAAAATGGAAGAATTTAACCCTAGAGACCTATTAGATAGAAAGTTAAAATTTTAATGATATGTTACAAATTTGTTAAAAATTAGAAACTAAATAGATACAATTTAAAAGTTTGAAAATCTAGTGGATAATACTAAAGTACAGACACAATCTAATCTAATTAAAATGGGTGGAGGCAAAATGTGCATGTTTCATTCTAATCAAGATTATTACAACTAATGGAACAATATAGATTTTGCGTATTCCTTCAAATTATGAGTTGTTCATACAACTTTTCTAACTTAAATTATCTTTAATCATCTGTAAATTAATGAAACCTCGAATGGCTGCTTTAACTGCTCTACCAAACTGATTTGTTGAGTGCTCCTTTAGTTAGACTTAGTTTGCATTTATTTGATAATTAAACTCCATAGTTTTAACCATAAATTCCAATGTATTAACATCAACATAGTTCAATAGTATAAATACAAATCGTGAAAGGTATATAATATTATATTGGTGTAAAGAAAATTATGAATTCCAACATTCATGCACCAACTCAATACAATGCACTGCGAATTGAAAATTATGGAAGATAATTGCATGAGAAGTCCAAAAATATTTATTATGAATAAGATTGTCCAAGGACTTCAAGTTCAAAGACCATTATTATTATTATTATTATTATTAAATATAGGGACCATTTTTTTCAAACAAATGGCATATATGGCTATATTTCATTACGTATGCTATCAAAGATATTGTATTGGAATAATTTATTTATTTATTTATTATTATTATTATTTTGACTATTTGGAACGATGTGATATGTGTATATATATATTTATATGTGGAAAAACGTGGAATTGTTGTTGAGGTATGTGGACCTCAATTATTCAACAGAATAAAATTCAAAAAATAAAAAACAGAATAAATTGAAGCCTAAAAACAAAAAGTCCATAAAAGTTGCGTTGGGCGCCACCAAGCCGTAATTAAACGCGCTTGAGGCCGAAGCCAAACTATTTTTAATTTCTCCCAACAATTTTTAGATTCGAAATATTATTATACAACCATATAGCATATAAATTTTGCTCCATTTCATGAAAATTTATAGATCCATAAATATTGTCTCCTTTCTTATACTGTTGTATGAGTTGGCCAGAATGTTGATTTGGCTTACCATTACCAAAAAATTGCAAATATGGCAATTCTTTATCTAATCTACAAATATAGTAAATAATAATAATAATAATAATAATAATAAAAATCCAGCCCAAAATAAATAAATGAAGTATATTACAGTGTATCGTTAAGAAATTTACAATGTTACTTGAATTAGAATTTTCCATCCAAAAAATTTATCACGGGTATATCTAAGACAAAATATATCAATGTACTTCATATTAGATACATCATTTATATTAATCATATAATTTATATTCAGTATGTTAGTTACATAGTTGATATATTTAATAGGAAGTATATTAGTTGTTGCTATAATATTTGTAAATATAACGAATATATTTTGTTACTCATTAAAAATATTTGGCGGAAACAATAATAGTTCAGCAGTAGTTGACATATATATTCAATTAAGAGATTGTGAGTTCGATCTTTCACCCTTTTATATTGTACTCAAAAACGAAAAAAAAAAAGGTTTGTCCAAAGTTTATTAATTTTTGGATTTTATTTATTTACTATTGACCAAAGAAAATTAAAAGTTACGACCCTTCAAACTGGACAGAGGGGATTGAGAATAAAAATTAAATAACAAGATTTTGTCGATATTTTAAATATTGGATAAAGAATTACGATTGGCCTTTGCTTTAATTTACTTGCTCCACAGCTGTATGCTTACGACTTTGCATGGAGGATGGAGAACATTCTCATCACTATAATAATGCCAAAACAAATCCAACACTATATTCAAAAATTAAAACTACTATGGTTAGTAAATCATATTTTGGTCTCTGTGTTTTTATTATTTTCAAATACTTTGTATTATTACTTTCTAAACTTTGCATTAAATATCTTTTTATTTTTTTAGTTTTACAAACATGGTGCGGATGATGCATGATGAGACATTCGACTTTAAAAAATCGTAAGTATTTTATCTACACAGCTTTACATAAGAGTTAAAAGTCCGAGATAGATTTAGATTCTTATCCATGGCTAAAATAGATTTTCTAAGTATAGTTTATAAATTATTCTAAACTTTATGCAAGTCTAAAAAACTACCGATAAAAATTAATATACTGTTATAAATACGAGAGTAAAAATTTAAAATTATGATCTTATGTGATAAGTGCCTTAACGAGTTAGCTACGATTTGACATATTACAAATCATATTTAGTGTTTATCAATCAAAACTCATTTTCTTACCAATTGTCACTAAAAATTAATAACTTTTTATTTAAGAAAAAAAAAGTATATTATTCTCTATATTTCTCTCCCATATTTATAAAATATTTAATGTTAATTAAGATGAATATTGATGGATAAACACCGTTGTTATTTTTTCCGCGGATCAGGAAGATGTCAAATTCCAACCGTAGGACATTTCTCTAATGATGTGCCGAAGAGTGTAGAGTTTTCCAACGGGGAAATTGGTCAATTCAATGATTGATATTTTCCAGTGGGTTGACAAATTTTAAAAATTGCACGAGCCAATCACGTGCGTCAAGAATCTCTGACTCATGACGTAGAGATGAGTAAAACCGGAGGAAGATTTATTATTATTATTATTTAAATTTATGGGGAAATGACAAATGGGATAAAATTTAAATTATAAATTATAAAAGTTGGGGACTGGTTTCCTCGTTTGAAACACAATATAACAAATGGATTTTATATAATAATGGTGAATCTTGTGTTTGATCAGAATTTTGTTTGTTTGTTTTTCTTAATGTAATAATTTATTTTTAAAATGCTTACCAAATGGAAAACAAAAAAATTAGAGAAAAAAGTACTATGATATTTTCTTAAGTAAGCTTCATTTTCACTTTTCAGTTTTATTTTTAGAGAATATTTAAAAAGTCTTAACTATGGTTTAAACTTTAAACATGAAAAATAGAACTAAAAAAAACATGAAAAGTAAGATTTCAAAATATATTTTCCAATAATTAATTTAATGATGATCTTACCTAAATTACAATTTTAACTAGGCTTTGAACATGAAAAATAAAATTTCAAAAAGATAGTTCCAAACTTTCAAAATTGTATCGAATAGATTTTTATACTTCAAAATTTGTGTAATAGACATTTGAAAGTTCACTTTTTTTGTGTTATAGTTTTATAAACTTTCAATTTTTGCCCCTCTTTGACTGGTCGGTCTCCCCCTACATATATTTCACTCTTCGTCGTCCATTAAAGAACGAGAAAACTTATCTTTAGATCCATTTTATTAGGGCTATACTAGGATCTACCTCGAGAAATCGCCAAATCTTCCAAGTATTGGAAGCTCCCCCACATGCCACTTTTGCAACCATTGTATTTTTTTTTATTACTCAATGTAAATGCTCTCTCCTTTCTCACTCATAGCTTTGCCTCATTGTTAGCAAATTGGAGTGTTTTTTTTTACCGGTTTTGGAGTTCTCTCCCTTTTGTAATCATCCCTCTCCTTTTCATTTTAAAGTAAAGTTTTCTAAACTTTCAATTTTGCATGGTCCTGAAGTTTAAAAAAAAACATCTACTAAATCTTTGAATTTTTAATTTTACTTCTAATAAATTTTTATCATGTTTGATATTTTATAAAATCCATGAACTTGTTGGACAATTTTGTGTCTTATAAAACCATTGCTTTTCAATTTTATATCTAATAAATCCATGATTTTTTTATAAAAAATCTCAAACTTTATTAGATACCAAATTTAGAGATGCAGCTAAAAATGTGGCGGAACATAGTTTAAGAGTTAAATCGTGTCATTTCAATTCTTCATCACTGTGTTCTAATAAAAACAAAGTCACTAAAAATGTAAAATTTATCTGGAAATGAGGTACATTTCGTGTCAAAGTGAGTATAGTTCAACTGTAATTGATAATATATCTTCAAAACCGCATCGCCCCTCCCACGTGTTGTTAAAAAAAAACGCATTTCCTAGTAATTCCACGAGTCTGTGACCGTGAGGAAGAGTTTGTTAAAAGAGGAAGAGTTTGTTATTCGATCTCAGGTTTTCTTCTTCTATTTCTTTCTTGTATTTTTTTGGCAATTCTTCATGAATTTGCATGCTTCTTGTTGTTGGTTTAATAAATACATGTTACATAAGCTGAATAAGAGATATCTAATTTTGTAGAGTCAACTATATAAGTTCTTCACAGTTCCAATGTTATGCCTTCATCTGATGTGGTTCCACATTGCAAATGAACTGAGTTATCAAATAAATTCATCTATGTTTCAACTTTCAAAGATTCACTCCATTTGTTCTGAAGAAATTACATCTGAATGCCTTTATTTCTTTTTCCCTCTTATAGATACTCTGTGTAACCTCTTTTTTCTCTCTTTCACTTTATGGCACACCAAAGGGACAACAACTAAAAGAAAAGAAAACCAAGCCGAGTTCATAATCATAGCCGAGTTCTCATCTCGTCGTTGTCATATTCGAAAGGAAGAGGCACAGAGTTGAATGCCCTGAACTTCCCCACATTGTTTAGGTGCTCATTCTCCATCCTGACAAGTACAAAATCAAGCTCTTGTTAGTTAGTACTTTGATCCATTCTCTGCTTCTACTGACATCATCAATGAAAGTAGAACATACCCGAAGAAATTCCATATTCCTCGTCGAATAATTTCCAACGCGGCAACAATGGCAATTAAGGCTTGTCTATGAACGAATGGAGCTTCCCTAAAATTTAACACTGACTGCATCCAAGCAAGTCTCAGCAAGATATTCAGTCCCTGCAATCCAGATTTCAAAGACAATTTGTCTTTTAGTTTTCAAAACTCTTTTAAAAGTAGAAAACAAAACAAGAACACAAAGGTATAAGTAGATAAACTTAATTTTGAAAGACAGAAAACCAAAAATAAAATAGTTTATCAAGTTGGTCTCAAACACAGTAACATCCTTACAATTGCTGCAGAGTAAACACTTTTGTTGGATATCAATAGTTTGTCTCTCAACCATGGATTTTTGGAGTTCCGTTGTAGAAGACCCCAATCTTTGACTATGTCCCAATATGTGCCTGAAATTGTTGCAACAGCAGAACTAACTGCAGCCAAGATTCTCCAAATCATTCTATATTCAAATCATGGCCTGTTCTCATTGCAATTGCAATAATAGTTGAGAAGTATTTCAGTCCATTAAATACATGCTCCAAGTCTTTCTCTTCGACCAATCGTCGAACACACTGCAAGCATGGAGCAATATTAGCTCTGATGAAGTTACACAAATAGAGAAGACATCGCTAAACCAGCCGATTACCTGAAGAGTACGAATCCAATATGGAATAATTGCAACAACAAAGTAAAAAGCTTCAAAAATTTTGCTCTCGTAGCACCTATTCGATCTTCGTATAAAGTCGCCCCACCCGTAGTAGCAGACGTAGAATTCTAGACTTCTGAAGGCTTGTACCTGACGTGAAGTTGTAACTGTGTTAGCTTTGGTGCATAAATTTAGGACAGCCAATTTTCAGTTATCTGAATTTATTGGATAGATTTTGAAGTTCCTCAGGAGAATGAAAGATATCAATTTTTAGAGAAGGTTAGTGTCAAACCTGGCTAGTGAGCTGATCTGCCAAGAAGAAATCTTGGAGGGTAACCTGAAGACAAAATGAATGAAGATTCAAATGAGTACTTACTGTACATTTTGTGTTCAAAAAGTAGAAATGTTTAAATGTAAAACTTCTCTTCCTCTGACTACCTTGTAGAATGGAGCACAGACCAAATGAAATGCGCTACGAATGAAGAAGAAGCGGCTGGAACGGAATATGATGTTGGAAGGACAAAATAGTATAAAAAGAAGTGCCTACAAAATGAGTTCAGTTCAGTTCAGACATGGCTTTTTGGACAGAAATATTTGAGACAAGTACTGCTTACAGTGAGTAGGATCAGAGGGACTGATTCAGTTATGGCTGCAAAGCTTATGGTTTTTGGGTCCATCTCCATGTCCAAATTGGAGAGAACACAAACCAATGTGAGCACTGCAAGACCTGAACTCAGAGAAAAGACCTCTCGGTGACCCAACTCCGTTCCTTGCTTGAAGCCAAATGTGTAATTTACACGGTAACGCTTCCAAAAGTATATATTTGCAGAGTACATCAACATGTGCAAGATGATGAATCCGAAAAAGCTGAAAAAGGAAATAATTTGTTAGGATCCCACGTTGAAAAGATAGATTTCTAATATAAGTAGACTACCCCTCTCATTGTCAATTGATTTTGAAATGGAACCTCATGAATATTGATATGATATCAAAATTTAAAAACTCAAATGAGCATTCGGTTAAAAAATGAGATTGGGGTAAGATGGGTGAACCCAAAAGAGGTACCATTTTAAGGGGTTATGTTAAGGATCCCACATTGGAAAGATGATAAACCTAACAAGGATTTATAATATAAGTGAGCTACTCCTCTAATACTCGATTAGCTACGTCACCAGGTGCATGTTGGCCATCTGAAATTTACCTATAGAGAGGGAATATGTTATCCATGTACCGTCCCCGCCCTTCACTCCTAAAGATGTTTCTTAGGTGTATGATCACGCCGATGGCCACCATAAGTGCAATCGAGCAGCCAAAGAGCAAACCTACAGATATCCAATTCAAATTTGGGAACACATAACATTGAAATAAAGCTTGAAAGACATCAGCTTTTGCTGTAACAAGTGTTATCACCGGAGAAAAATGTAATTTCATGTCTTTCCCTTCTGATTTTTCTTCTCAAAATGTCCATCCCTCTTCTACGGTTCCCGTTTGCAAAGTGCTTAATGAAAACAGCCTCCACTCTTTCAATCAGCTTTGTGACCTGTTTTTGTACAGAAACATTTTGAAAAAGGACTTTAAAGTTTAAACCACAATTCAGTTTCAAGGATCCCATCAGACCTCAACTGTGCTGCCAATAGGAGACTTTTCCACCATTTCTAAGTAGGCCTTCGATGCTTTACGTGATGTAATCTGCATACATAAAAAATCAGAATCACTGAGAAAAACAAGATTGTTTACCTCAAATATATAGACTGGGAAATTGTTGAAACCTTATCATACTTCTTCATGATCTTCCAAACAGCCAATTTATTCAAGAAGCTGCAGATTCATAAGGAATAGCACCATTCATAGTTTGACAAATTCAACAATGATGAAGAGATATAATTACTTCTCTATGATATCAAGACTCGTGGATTACCTATAGCCTAGTAGAAGTTGAAGCTTTTGGTAGAATTCGATGAAAGCCCGAGTCATCAATTCTTCTGCCTTCCTCAGCTCTGTCTTATTATACGACAATTCTGATTTGGAACTCGTGAGCATGCATTTTAGAGTCGATATTGGTGTTTCAGGAGGGACACTAATCCGTATTTGGGGCAACAATTCTAATGAAGTTGGTTTGAGTCCTCGAATGGTATGATGAGCCTTCCTGCGATAACCTTTTGCTTCATTTGTTTCCTTATCTTCCAAACGTGCTTCCTCAGCCATCTCCACTTCTTGAGTTACCTCCAAGCGTGACCGTCCTTCAAAAACATGATCTAGTCAGTAATAAAGAACGATTCAACTTTATATCGTGTGTTCTAACATTGATATTTTTACTGGTTTTGTATTTAAGGTTACATAAGAAGTTTGTTACTTAGCTTATTTATTTATTTTGTTTATTCAAAAGAGTTTCTGACAAGTTTTTGAACTTTTTAAAGTTGTGGCTATCACAGTGAGGCTAGCTTAGACCTCGGGCACATACACGCCACAAGGATGGCGGGTAGCATTGCAATGTCTTGTGCAGGATGGTTGTTCGAGCCCACCCCACCGTGCACGTTTCAAGTAAGATGAGATGGCTCACAGAAGGGCTCACCCCCAAAAAATGGTTGTTCGACCATACAAAAAGTAGTTTTTATAGTTCCCCAGTCTAAAATGTTTCCAATAAATCTTTAAAGTTTTAGTTTTATGTCCATGATACAAACCGTTTAAACTGACGGACTTGACAACATGAACTTATTAGATGCAGAATTGAAAGTTTCACTTACCTCGTCGAGTTCTGGCATTGACATGTTCATCAGAATCCTCAAAGGCAACATCTGGCTTTTCCACCTTAATCCGCAGAGCAATCAAGATATCCATCTGTTTGCTCAACTCCTCCGCCGCCAGCATCAGTTCCGCCACCTCCTTGTTGAAAAACCCCACCACTTTGTTGAACTCATCATCAAGCATCCTAAAGAACGCCTCCTCATTTTCGCCCCCTTGCTCCAATGACGACGCAAACAACATGCTCTGGTAGCACTCTTCAGGCCCTCTCTGAACTATATTTGTACGTATTGCTGCATCCTCCTGCTTCCTTGGAGCATTCCTGCCCCCTGTTAGCCCACTGAATGCTCTGTACAGAGACCTTCTCCTCTTCAACTTGCTTGGCCCCTCCGATCTCTCTGCCTCTCTCACCCGGCTGACCTCTTTCAACACTGTTTTCAGTTGACTGTAATCCAAATATGCTTCTTCCCATTCTGGCACCATTTGGGACAACAATTCCTTCCCAAACTTCATCTTTAGCTCACCCAAAATCTGCCTCTAGAGTGTTTAGAAAGCAGAGCTCCGCTGCTTGCTTCACCTATTTGGAGAGTATTGCTATAACTAAAGATGGCCTTGGCAAAGCCAATTGACAATTATTAGAGACATGCTCTTCTTTTTAGTTCAACTGTGCGGGAGATAGAGATTCGAACTTATCACTTTTTTTATTGAGATATATACTTTAAATTTTAAGTAATTATCTCGTACTACTGTCCTTCCATCCGCAATATGAATTTCTCTTCTTGAATTATTTAATGTTGCTCGACTTGAAACAGACGATAATGAATGAGAGTAGTATTTTATAATATCGAAAAATTTTTAGTACTTACGAGTTATGTACCCCTTTATTTCATTATGAATTTTGTGTTAGACTCGTTGTCATTCTTAAAATGACACGGATAACAATAAATGAGAGTATATCCATACACCATAGCATAGGAATAGTAGTTTTTAGTATGTCAATGCCCTACATAATTACTACACAATCAACTTGGTGTGCGAATTGATAAGTTCTTGCAATTGCAACACCCATTGGTGAAGGTCGCATTTAAGTTGGACAGCAGCATTTATCAAACACGCTGCTTTCTGGGAAAGAAAATTCTATTAGACTGTCCAGAAACAATACAGTTCAGATTGACGATGATGATACGATTTTGTCGAGGAAAATTATGGGAGCAAAGTTCAGAGATTGAAGAAAATTATAATGAATGAGATATAGCCCAAATGACTGTTGAAAGATAAACTATGTTGATAGAGTTGGTAGGGCTATATTTATTACGTATACTCTCAAAGATTGATATTTGGGATGATTGAATGCAGAGTCCTTAGAAAAATTCAAATGCAACTTTCTTTCTTTAGTAGTAGTTAAAAACAAGAATCAGTACCAACGAAAAGGCAAAATAAATGAATTTGTTAAGAGTAGTACTTCTATAATTCCTAATATAATACCCGATCCCAACAAGACTACAAAAAAATCACAGACAAATCCATTATTTGTAGTAAAAAGGAGAAAAAAATCAAAATGTTTTTCAAACCCGAAAATAAATGGATAATCAATTCATAATTAAATCTTTAATGGGTGTGAATTAAAGTAGGTATAGTTATTGGAAAAAATGGCTGGTCTTTCTTAAACCATCATACATGCTTGGTATTAATTTTTTTTTTTGAAAAATTTAGGTAAACTTAAACTTAGCTCAACTATTCGAGATATATACTTCTGACCTAACATCCAAATGATTGTACTAAAACGACAATAAAAAATCAGGACTTATTTATCAATTATCTATGCAAACTATGCTAGATTTACCGTGACCTCAAAATTAAAGATACTCACAATAGAATTTAGGGAGTTCAAACCTAGAAAATCAAGATCCTTCAAAATCCAAAATCAAGAAGTTATAAACCAAGAAGTTGTAAGTTCGATCTCCCACCCCACGTGATATATTCAAAGGAAAAAAAAAACTTGACAATATGGCAAAATAGCACAAGATGTTACAAATATTTTCATTTCTCGAAAATAAAATTCAAATGGACCTTTGCTTTAAAAACTCCACAGCTGTATGATTACGACTTTACATTGAAATTAACTTCAATGGACCATTTCGTTTCTCGAAAATCAACTTCTTAAATGGTTATTTGATAAACACTTTATAAAATATAATTCTTAGATGCACCAAAATCGTAGTTGATTCAAATGTGTTACAATCTTAAATTAATATAAAAATTTAAAAAGGAAAATATATTTTCAAACAATTTGAAAAAGAAAATTAAGTTTTTAACTCATAAAGCATTTATCAACCCTATTTAAGAGGATGTTTGGAGTGCCAAAATCACCCTATATTATTGTCAGATATTATTATTTTAGATAGAATGATAAATGTAATTTTGGTCATGTTAAAATCACTCATAAATATTAAAATAATAACTTATCTATACCTGCAAAAGCAGGTCTAACTCATCAGTGATAATTGACATATATATGAGATTATGAGATTGATCTCCCACCTCAGTATTAGAAAAATTGCCAATTTTAATCTCTAGACTTTCAAAAAATATTATTTTGTACATTACATCTCACCTTAACTTTAGGACTAACTTGAACATAGTTTAATTGGTTAAGATTTAAATCATCGACCAAAGAATTTAAGATTTGAATCTTTATTTTTACGTATTATTGAATTAAAAAAAGGAAAAAAAGGGAAAAGCATTAGCTATAGCATATTATGAAATAAATAGTATGGAGACATTTTGCTTTAGTATGTATTTTAAAGATATTACGAACTTTTATTTTTTTTTAAAAATAAATTGTTATTATGACATTTTCGTTTTTTAATTATATAATATATTTTATATTACATTTGAATCTGTATTCGATTTAAAGTATTATATTCTTGTAAAATTTTATTTATTTATTTTTTTAAGTTCAATAAAGTCCTCTGGATTGAGAAAATAAATATTTATTTTACGTTAATTGAATTCTCGGACGTGTTTGAAAGGAAACTGAACTCCGTCGTTCTTTGGCCTTCGCCAGCAGATCTTCGCCATCTCGAAAGGCTTTGATGATCTCTTCTGGGTTGCATCCAACCAAAATCTGAAGTTTCTAATCGATTCCCGAAACCCTAACTGAGCCATAGGTTTCCACTGCCGGAGCCAGATGAAGATGCCGAAGTGGAGTTTCTTGGTTTCGATTCTATTGGGGCTTATGTCCACCGTTGCTTACTCGATGCGATTCGATCTTCAATCGGGCGCCACCAAATGCATTTCCGATGACATTAAGACCAATGCTATGACTGTCGGCAAATATTCGGTGGTTAATCTCAACGATGGTTTTCCTGTCCCCGAATCCCACAAGATCACTGTCAGGGTATTCCAATCCAAACCTAAATTTTCCGAATGTGTTTTTCGGTTTTGGGTTTATTGTTTTTTTCATGCAAAGCCACATGTTAATGGTTTATTCTCCCTGTATTGTCTGCAAATTTCGTTCTTCGTTGAGCTTTTACATTTCAATGTCCAAGCAAGTTAAACGACTACTTTTGTCCACAAATGATATGGGGTTGTGTTATCTTTAAGCTGTTTCTCTGCTTGTGTTTCTCAATTTGATCTCTCTGTACTTCTTTTCTGGATTTCTATAATTTTACTGATTTTGGATGGAATTTGTTTAGATGATTAATCTGTTGTAATGGAGATTCTTGCTAGGTGAGTTCGCCTCAAGGCAACACGTATCATAATTCGGATAATGTGGAGACGGGTAATTTCGCGTTCACTGCGGCCGAGTCCGGTGATTATACTACTTGCTTTTGGGCCCCGGAACACAAGCCCCCAGCCACAGTAACAGTTGATTTTGATTGGAAGTCCGGTGTTTCTTCTAGGGATTGGTCCAAGGTTGCTAAGAAAGGGCAGATTGAAGTACGTTCTGAAATCTCTCATCTTGGTTCTGGCATAGACATGGATGCATTTGCACATTGTTTGGTGTTCTTCATAATTATGCTTTCTTTAGGCTAAGAATTGTTACTGAATATTGAGGTCAACTTCGTCACAATATCCTTCAAACAACTCATCTTGCATGATGTTGTGTCATGTTTCAAATAACACTGAATTGTGGACATTACGGTGGCTGCATATTAATACAAATTTATAGCTATATTTCAAGAATTTAATTTTGATCGAAATAAATGAGATAAAAAAATAATAAAAGGACCAAAATGACCATTTTTTAAGAGTGTAGGAACTAAAATGGATGTTTGGAAAGTGTAGTAACTAAAATGAATAAAAGTTGAAAGTATAAATTATAGGGATCAAAATAAACGTTTTGAAAGTATATGGTTTTTGTTGAACCAAGGCCGAGAGACCAAAATAGTATTTAGAACTTATTTTGATATGAATCTTTTGAGATTCTGTTTGGAACTCTTACTTAATGTAGAAGATGTGCTCTTTTTTTTTTTTTTGTTCGATATAAGAATCTGTCAGATGGTCATCTGATGAAATAGTTCATCATCTCTTATACTAGATAATGGAACTCGAGTTGAAGAAGTTGTATGACACTGTCATCTCCATACATGATGAGATGTTTTATCTCCGTGAAAGGTACACATTGTAATGAATTGAGTTTATGTCTAAGTTTCTGAAGAGCCTCACTCTGTTTAATAAACTGTAGCATCTCAGATGTAAGAAATGCCAGCATCTCTAGAGCCTCAATCTATTTGTTATCCATTATAAAGCGTACAGAATTTGATAAAAAAAAAACGTAGTGAAAAGTTTATTCTGCTAAATGCGATATTCCTTGGGCAATTCCCCAAAAGTTTGTTGCAATTTGGTGTTGAGAGAATTTAGTTCCTTGGCCTTCGTTTCTTTGTGGCCTTTATATTATGTACATTCTCTGTAGGTTAAGCTCTGGTAAGGATGAAACTTGTAGATTCATTTTGTCCGAGTTGATGTGATTTTTTTAGTACAATACATGAGATTGGGAGATCGAACTCAAAATCTTTTGGTTGGAGATATATGTCAATTATCGCTGAACTATGCTCGTTTTCGCGGTTGATTCTCTATTATTATTATTTTTCCTTTCTGTTCGATTTTCAGGGAGGAGGAAATGCAGCAGCTGAATAGAGCAACTAACGCAAAGATGGCCACCTTCAGTTTCCTATCACTTGGAGTTTGCTTGTCTGTGGCTGGTTTACAGTTATGGCATCTCAAGACATATTTTGAAAGGAAGAAGTTGCTGTGATTCTTTCCTCCCATATAAACTCTCTCCCCCTCTAATTTTTCTGAAAATTTTTTTCGTTCTTTTTTTTCCTCATTTTTTTAAAGAATTAATTTTGTTGTTTAGACGTGACAACTTATGTTGGACTTGAATTGCTAAGCATTTGTGGACTCTGAAGAACACTCGCAGTTGGAAATTTGAAAGGGAAATATGCACATGATAATATTTTTTACTTTGAAAAATCATATGTATTTTCTCTGAGACCCTGAGCTGATAATATTTTTTGAATATGTGATGTGAGTCTTCCACTTTTTAATATATGCGATTTATCATAATAAACGATGCAGCAATTATGGAAGATAATACCACTGTTTGATCAAATTCTTGGTCTCGTTCTTTATTGTTTGTTTTTGGTTTTATATTCTTTTCTAAAAAATGGAAAATTAGCATATTAGATGTCTATTTTTTATTATTTTATTTTCATAAAACTTTGTTTATATTTTTCTAATTTTTATTTTTTTAAAAAAATCACAAATTCATTTAATGGTATTTTTTTAATTGTAAAACTGTACAAGTTGTAATTTTTTTCTCCGGAGAAATGTGTTAGAGAGATGAAATAGAGGAGAATTCATAAAAAATAACAATATTATTTTTCAGTTATAATGTTAAATAACGTCTTTAAAAATTAAAAAATTGAAAATCAACATAGATTCCAAAAGAAAACAATCACATTTAAAGGAAGAAAATGAAGGAAGATCCAAACCTTAAATTCAGATTTTTTATTTCAACAAATATAATTCCATCTATTTTCTCTCAAAAAGAAAATTTCCATCTATTTTTTTTTCTTTTTCTTTTAAAAAATTCCGTCTATTTGGTAAATGGTAATCTGTCTCCCGAGTCCCGATGCCATCTCGGTTCAATCAGAGCAAGGGAAGAATATTGTGGGCTGCCGACGAAAGGTAATGGATTGTGGATCCGATCCGATGCCAAATTGGGTCCTTTCGCTTTTCCTTCGATTTTATCTCCCCATTTCGTCTTCATCTTCAACCCGCTTCCCAACAACGGAGAGGCGCGAGGTTCGAGTGAGAGATTCATGGCGGCCCCGCCCCGGGTAATCACAGTGGCGCACGACGGCTGTGGAGATTTCCGCACGGTGCAGGAAGCCATAGACGCGGTTCCATTCAGCAATACTTGCCGGACGGTAATCCGTGTGTCTCCTGGCATTTACAGGCAGCCTCTGTACGTGCCCAAGACCAAGAATTTCATCACATTCGCGGGTTTGAGCCCTGAGAGTACTGTCCTCACCTGGGACAATACTGCCACCAAAATTAACCACCACCAAGTCGGTTCCTCATGACTATTTTATCGTTACCCATCTGGGTTTGTGTTTAATCTGCAAAATTATGATGTCCATGTGGCTCTCTCTCTCTCTCTGGTCAGGCTTCTCGTATCATAGGAACTGGGACTTTTGGTTGCGGGAGTACAATTGTGGAAGGAGAGGATTTCATTGCTGAGAATATCACTTTTGAGAATTCTTCTCCACAGGTACCATTTTGGGAGCTCTTTGTTCATTGTTTTATTTTTACTTCCGGTTTTTTATTTGACTTTCTCACTTATACCAATGATATGGAGATGGAACAATAGCCATTTTTAGTTGAAACTTTATGGTTGATTTTGAACTTGTAGCATGAGGGTCTTCATGCAGTCAAATTTGCGCTGAAGTTGCCATTTTTGAGTTATGTTGTGGTGTGGCTTCTTTGTTTTCCACAGGGTTCTGGCCAAGCTGTGGCTATCAGAGTTACTGCAGACCGTTGTGCCTTTTACAATTGCAAGTTTCTCGGCTGGCAGGTACGAAATTCATTGATTAATGGCCAGCTAGTTCAAGAGGTTAACCAATATTTCAAGAACAACCAATTAGTTTTTGTTGTAGACTAAATGGTCTGAATTTTCTGGCTTAATCGAACGGTTATGTGACTTAGCTAGTACATCATCACATCTATTTTTACCCCTGTTAAAATCTGTATGAAGAACACCTTTTACCATAAAGAACTTTTCTATCAGGATCTACTCTTTGAGGCTGCTGGAAATATCGATAGCTCTATCCCTCGGCTGGTTCAAATGGCCCATATCCTTAGCTCACAGTAGATAGTCTTTCTGTAGTTCAATTGCCTGCTATTGTGTCTTCATCAGAAACGTCGGGAAACATCTACATACGTTTTCATTTTGCTCATTTAATTTGATGCAGGATACTCTGTACCTACATTATGGAAAACAGTATTTGAAGGATTGCTACATTGAAGGAAGTGTGGACTTCATATTTGGTAATAGCACTGCTCTGTTGGAGCATTGTCATGTCCACTGCAAGTCGCCTGGCTTTATTACTGCCCAGAGCAGGAAATCTTCTCAAGAGACAACAGGTTATGTGTTCTTGAGGTGCGTAGTAGGAAATTTTGTTCCGCTTGTACCAAATATCTGGTGTCTCATAGATTACTGGAACATTATTATGTTCGACTCTATTGTGTGGATCATCTCTTTTTAGACAACAACTCTTTATGGTCATCCTTTTGGTGTTGGTTGATTTGTGTAATTGTCCGTAGTTGTTGTGATTATATCATTTCCATGTTAGGATGAGTATAGTTATTTTGTCCATTTTCTAAATTTTTTGTATCTTTATTAAGTTATTAAATTTCTATAAGTTCTTTTGGAATGGAATATTGTTAAGTGATTGTCTCTTGAGATTAGTGGAGGTGTATATAAATTGGTCCAAATGCTCACGATGTGTTAAAAAAAGAGAGAATTACTTAGGAATATTGGATCTTTGGTCTCTAATTTATGGTTCTTTGCAGCTGAGAATCTGACTTTGAGATAAGTGTTGAAACGTTGAACGCTTAATTTGGGCCAGAAATCTAGTTTCCTAACTTTCACCCCTTATGTTAGACTCCTCACCTTTCCCATCCGTCATTTATAAACCATCAGTTGGCTCTTAACTTGGTTATGGTACGTCTTATTTGTGCACCAATACCGGCTTGTAGATATATTTTTGTATTTGATGGAGGAAAAGAAACTCCATCTCCATTAGTTCTTGGATTCTTAAAGTGTGATATTCAACTGATTCTGATTTTCTGCATATAAATTTGCTTGCGACATTCTTCTACATGTCCCTTTTCTTGTTTTTCTCCTTGGAAATCTGTAATGAACACTTTTTTTGTTTTGTTGATGTAGATGTGTGATCACGGGCAGTGGTGGGAATTCGTACATTCATCTTGGACGACCATGGGGCCCGTTTGCGAGGGTTGTCTTTGCTTACACATACATGGATGCATGCATCAAACCAGCAGGCTGGGACAACTGGGGAAAAATCGAAAATGAGAGAACTGCTTGCTTTTACGAGTACAAGTACGTAATGTTTAATGCCTTCTCGCCTTATTGTTCCACAATGCACATGCTTATTACAAATTCGGGACAACCTTTATACGATGAATGGAGAACATTGTCTAATGCCGAGATCACCTGATAGGAAGAGACTCATGTTTTTTGGTACAGGTGCTTCGGACCGGGTAGTTGCCAGATGAAAAGAGTGTGTTGGGCTAGAGAATTGGTAGATGAAGAAACTGACGAGTTCCTCCTGCATCAATTTATCGATCCCAACGTCGAAAGACCTTGGCTATGCCAGAGGATGGCATCGAGGATCCCATTTTCTGCTTGAGGATGGCATCTTTTAAAAGATCTTGCAGCTCTGTTGCTTACTTATCCTAAATGGTGTCATATCCCATGGGGGTTTTTCTAGCCTGAGATTGTGAATTTATGTAATGCATGAAAGTTTATTTTCATATATTATAAGATACTGAATAGAAATCTTATGTGGCATCTTTGTGTGTACTTTATGCTTTTATTTAAGCCACAAAATGAGCGGTTCAAGGGACAAGGACTTGAATGAGTAGTTCAATACTTTGTTGAGCTTGATTAATGGATCTTTATGAATGTTTTATTGGAAAGGGAATATTTCAAGGATCAAAATATAATGTGATTGAAAGTTCTAACAACTTAAGTAGAATTAAATTGCTCCTAAACATGCCAAAAATATTTAGAGATAGTCTGTTAAACACACAAATATTACATTCGATAACTATTTGGTTTTTGTTTTTTAATCAACTTTTTAAAATCTGAGGTAAAATTTTAAAACAAAAAATGTTGTTTTAAAAATTTATTTTTGTTTTTTAGATTTTGGCTAAGAATTCAAAGATAATTGGTACTTTTAACCCAAATGGATTTCTATTTGGACTTGACCTTTTTTTTTCTTAAAACAAAACTTGTATTGTGATCATTCGAAATGTCTTTCTTTACCACTCTTCACTCTTTGACATTTGTGAAAATACTAACTTGCCTTCGTTTATTTATTTATTATTATTTTTTACCAGATTTCTAACTTATCTTTTATGTTATAATAAATAAGGATAATAAATTCTCACCGTATAACAATTAACCCTTGGCCAAATATAATAAGTAACTCTTCAAATTCCGAATACCCATGTTTCTCTTCTTTTTGGCGATTCAAAAAACAATTCACATTTTTTATCACGTTTCAACATTGTTCCCACGATGTTCAAGTTTCAGTCCAATAGCAACTCGCATTTTCGCAAGGTAGATCCTACAAAGTTTTTTTTCCTTTAAATATCTGATCTTGTTTGAATTATTGCTATTTTTTTTTTTCATAAATTTCTTATTCTCTCTTGCCCATCTGATCGTGAAGAAGGCCAGCTAAACGATTTATTTAATTGTACTTCAGGATTATGAAAAATTCAATCTTGTGGCATTTTGGTCCGGGACAACTGGCAACCTGAGACCAAGATTGACAATATTGGGCAATTTTGGACACAGATTGCCAATCTTTGACCAGGACCAATGTTGGTAATCCTAGTTCGGGCCTGCCAATCTTTGTCTGAGATAAAAGTTCGGGTTTGCCAATCTTTATCCGAGACAAAATTGTCAATCTTGGACCCAGATTGCCAAGCTTGTCCCGGACCAATCTTGACAACTATGGACTAAGATTTATAATGTTGTCCCGAAACTAGATTGTGACAATGTTAATGGTTTTTTTTGGTCTATTATCTCATAACCTTACGTTATTTTTATCTTGTTTGCAGGATGCCGTGTGCCTTTATAATTTTCGGTGAATGGAGGGTTAATGAAAATGATTATGTAGGTAGTCGATGAGAGGATTGATGGTGGATACGATAACCACGTACTAATATTTTTAATATGTGTATATATTAAGTAGTATAAATTCGGAAGAGTTCGATATTATAATTAGATATGTATATCATTCTAAAGCCAAAGTTTGTGTAATGGAAATAACTGATGATAACGTTCCTTGTGCTATTGTTCAGTGTTCGTCATCTCCAAATGTAATTTAATATTCGTATGCAAAAAAACCAATGTAAAGTTTTCCTGAGCAATAAATACTAAGTTAAGTATATGATTATATTATATATCATGATATATTATAATGTGATCACTTACATGGGTCAACTCGAATACATTAGTGGCTAGCACATTAAAACCACGAGATAAGTGCATGACCATTGGAACAGTCGAGGAATGGTATCGTCATTGAGCTTATGTCAAAATATCTCATACGCTCTTACGTACAATCACGTCAAAGTAAGCATGCAGTTCAATCAAAAGTTAAATAACTATATATATTTTTAACTATAGAAAAGCACGTGAAAAATCATACAGACGGTAAGTCTCGATGTGTTTGGAGTCATTCTTCGACTTCTACTGGTACGTTGCTAGTCTATCTCTTAGTGCGTTATGAAGGTTCTAAAATCCTATAAAAGTCGTCGTACTCTAGTCGTAGTTGTAGAACATCTCCTAATCCTCAACAATCACTAGGAGGCTATAGTATCCATAAACTGCTTCCCCTCCTTACCTATAATGACTAGTTCTATAAACTACACTACACTAATCTTCATTGCATCTTTGTCATTATCGAAGTTAAGGTACTTAAATATTTTTTTCAACTCCTTACACTTAATCTAGACCTTGGAGAGTGGTAGAAGAAGTGGGAGTCTGAGACTGGCGTGCAAGGGTTTGAGATAGAGTCTGAGATTGTGGTTTTAAAACGGGGGCATTTTAGTACTTTTACAAATGCTAAAAGTAAAAAGAATTAAAAAAAAAAAACATGTCAAGGGGTCACAAATATACAAGTTTTTTTAGAAAGGATTTAAAAAGTCCAAGTAGAAAACCTTTTGGGGTAAAAAATGCCAATTACCCAGAATTCAAAATTTTTTCTAAGAAAAGTGAAAAATATAAAACAAATTGTTAGTAAATAAGTATAATTTCTTTACTCTTGATATATATATTTTGAAAAAATAGAAAACCAAATACAAAATCGTTACCATTAGTCCTAAACTTCTTTACCTTTCGTGTAACATTTATTGATAAGACTACTAGAAAATTGGATAGATTGCCAGTAGAAATTTGCATCAATTAGGAACTTTGATGGCGACTATTAAGCATTAGTCAGGATCTTCAATGGCAAATTTTAATTCAAATTATTTTTTTAAACCAAAAAGGGAATGAAGAACTTGAACCTCTTCTTCCTCCTTTGTGGCTGATAGTGTAGAGTCTATCTCATCACTTATATAAAATTTGGCTAAAATTCTAATGGACTCATTTATGTCAATTCTAATTAGAAAAATTACTATTTAATTTCTATACGCATTTGCTGGTGAGGTTAGAAATTTAACTTGAAATGGGTTATGGCTTCTATCTTAAAATAATGAATGTCCTACTTGGATTTTTTAAAATCAAATATGATAATTATATGGAAGAATGTTTCTTAGCTTTCCAAAGTTAGTTTTAAACTCTTGTAAATTCATGAATTTGTGGTTTCTTTTCGATTTTTATTACCTTCATATGGATAGAATAAAATTAGTAAGTTACAAGAATTAGTATTATTATTATTGACGTAAAAGTGACGAGAAAAAATTTTTTAGACCTTAGTTTAGGATTTAATTTTAGTATTATAATTATTATTATCTTTTGTAATTGACCTTTTTAAGTTAGGTTGTTTTACATGGGGATGTGTTTAAGATTGGAACTTACGTTTGATATTTATTAATTTTTGTATTTTTGTTAATTATATCTACAGAGCACAATCAATGACTTCCATAAAATTATTGTTTGAGCTAGCACGATTAAAAAACTTCTCTTACAAAAATTAATAGAATTAACTAATCAAACAAAGAAAGAAAAGCTTAGAAATACCTTCAATAAAAAAGACTTTTTGTTGCACGTTAGAAATTAACACAAAAACAGCCTGGTCCCACGGAAGAAATTATTTGAGAGGATATTGACATTACATATCGTTACGAAAATTAAATAATGGTGAGTTTCCTCCACGAAAAGTCTAACGAATTAGACAATTCAACTTGAAGTAATCAAAGTAGTTTGTTAAACTTTGGTTTGAAGTACATTTCAATAACAAGATTTGATCATATACTATATGGACGAGCATTCATCTAAACTAATAAAATATCTAAAGTTGGCTAAAAAATATTGTCATTTATGAACTTTCGTTGATGCAATAAGAAACAAAGTCCAAGAAGATCATCGTAAATGCTCATGAGTTCGATAGNTTGAATCAAAATTTTCATTTCTTTGCTAAATTATAGGAATCTAGTTAATTGGTGGACCCACCTTAAATAATCACTTCTCTGAGAAGGATAATTCAATTTTTTCATAAACCGCACCAATCTCATTCAAATTCTTTATTTTATGGACTCCACGTATCTATAATAATTATTTTACAGTTTTTACTCTTTCTACATGATCTATCTAGGCCCATAACTTTTTAATTAAATATTTTAAAATTTTATTATTTGTTATTTATTTATATTATTAATAATTTTTCTTCTAATAAAAATTTATTTCACTTTATTATAAAATATTACAAATTTCTATTTAATCTTTTTAAAGACCAACTGGTTTAGGTAAATATCTAACGCGTTCTTCTACTGAAGTTATTTTTGGAGGAGAGACTGCGCGTTTTTGGGATATTGTTTAATTTACTTTATAATTATTAATTAATATCAATAAAAATTATTAAAATAGATTTCATTATTATTAAATATTAGAATTTATAATAAAAATTATTTTAGTTGATGTAATTTTATTTTAATTATTTATTATTTGTTAATACTAAATAAATTGTCATAGTAAAAAAAATATTTTCTATGAATAAAGTAAATTAAAACTTATTATTATTTTAATTAAAAATATTAGTACAGTATTTATAATTAGTTAGAAACAAGGAAGAGCCAGTTATACTAAGAATTATATTATATCGAATTCTTAATCGGATTCCATATAGTTTTAGTAAACAATCTCTGCTATCAGAAAATTTCTAGTAAACAACATCAAATGAGTAACATTCTTGTTCCGATTGATTTTCATTTCAATTTTTTCTAAAGTAAACGAGGGCTTAAGTTAAATTGTCACATAATCACATGTAATAAGAGTCGCAACTTTGTTTATATGAATTTGAATTAGTGTAAGGAAATACACTTCTCTTGATATATATATAACAATTTTTTTTTTGGATAAATAACAAATATTTTCGACAAAATGGCAAAGGTGTGTCCTTTTTGTTGAAAATTAACAAGCTTTAAAAAGACCAAAAACTAACAGACCGCGATGGTCATGAGAAAACGATGATGTCTTTATTTTCCACTCAATTACTACATTTCCATGTTGAAAATGGAGAACAAAGGTCGAACAACAGATTCAATATGGTGAAGAAGAAGAAGCAGAAAATAATTAGGAGCTGCAAATTCTGTGCAGTCTCCAAAACGCAGCAGCAGCATCAAAATTTGTTATCTTTTTCTATGGGATTTTTCAGTGATATACCTCTTAACGAGTCTCCTGGTGTATGAACATAATATTTCTCTCACCTCTTTCTACTTCTCTCTCTCTTTTTTTTCATAAACTAATTATTTATTGATTCTTTTTAGTTCTTTCTCTCTCTAGAAAGCTTCTTTTGATCAATACTTGGAAGATAAACCCAGAATGCTGAAGGCAACATTTCCAGGAAAAAGTCAACAGCTCAACCAGGTTTTTTTTTTCATCATCTTTTTATCTTCAGCTTCTCTTTTCTAGCTGTTCCGTTTCGATTTATAGAATGTGATTGCAGATCGGATATCGATCCAAGGGAGGAATTGCTTAGGGTCGTTTCGTAAAGTTTGTGTTTCTTGTTTATCGTTTTTGAAAAATGTTTTGATAATTGGTCTTCTATTTTCTTGTGTGTAATTTGATAATTGTTTACATTTTCTTGGTTTATGATGGTTAAAATTTATGTCCTTAGCTATTTCTTGTTTTGTATCGTTAAGAAACTTTATCAAAATTTATTTACAAATTTTTGAAACATTAAAATCTGATTTCTTGTTTGGTTTTTGTTTCTAGCTTTTTAAAAATATAGATAAAGTTATTATTTTATTACTTTTACTTATAAAATACATCAATTTTTTAATTAAAAATTTAATGTAAAACTTTGAATTTTTTAAATTTATAATTTAAGAGAAAAAGTAAATAATTTTAAAGAATAATTTTCTCATTAAAAGATAAAAAAACCTGTAAAATATATAGTTTGATTTCTCTTTCTTGAGAAAATGAAACAAGAAATGAGGAAAAGAAAAAAAAAATACGGATAGAGTTAGAAACTTTGGGCAAAATCTTATATTTTAGAAATGAAAAAAAATAAAAAACAACAATAGGATAAAGCGAGAAATTTTCAAATCTTATATTCTAACACTTACTATAATATAATATTTCAATTTGAGAAAAGAGTACTCTAAAATCTTATCTTATATAATTTCATGAAATATAACACAATTAAGAGATCGAGAAGAGGGGGTTGAACTCACAATCTCTTAATTAGAGATATATATCAATTACTACAGAGCTATATATGCTCGTTTTGACGATCACTATTCTCTTTTCTTCTTTACTTCACTCTTGAAAAATAAAAAATAAAAAAACAGTCACATCCATGCCTAACATTGGTTGAATATTTTTACATTAATGAAGGAAGAGTGGAGAATTGAAACGCCAAAAATGGAATTGCTGTCTTTGAAGATATGGCCAGTGATTGATATGAAAATAATCTCCAAAACCAGTGGCCAAGATTACCCACCTCATGTTCCTCATCATATCACAAAACTTCTCCACCTTGAAATGGTATTATATATGTTCTTCATTTCATTCAAAAAACCCAAATTTCAATTAGCATATTTTGCTAAATTTCCATGAAAATAAAAAAAGAAAAAAAAATGCTGTTTGTTTTGGTGTTCTTGTGCAGACAAATTGGGAGATCAATGGCATCCATAGGAACTATAGGCCATCTTCAGCCAATGTTACTTCCAAAGGAGCTATTTACAGTGAAAAAAGAGGAACTACAAGTAGACTTAAGTTTCAATTCTTTATGAATTTCACCTTTGTTGTCCCGCAGGCTCTGAGTTTCATTCCGAAAGACATTTTTCGAAGCATCTTTGAGACGGTAAACAACCCATGAATCCCTTCCTTTTTATTTAGAGAAAATATTTCTCTGCAGTACACTGCAAGAATTTTAATTTTTTCTAATGCTATAATATGTTAGGAAAAGACCAAAAAAACATTGGGGGTAGTTTCTCCCAACCATAAAACTTCGTCGGTAAAAAAGTCGCTAGAAGTGCATTGGGGAAGCACATTGCCAAAAAACGTCGGCAAAACTTATAATTGTTCCTACGATTTTATTTTTGTTGCGAGAAAATGACCCACATTTTTAATAAAACGTGGGGATGAATGATATTCACCAACGTTTTTGTAAAAACGTCGAGAGAAGGGATATTTGCCCCACGTTTTTATTAAAACGTCGAAATATTTATTGCGTAATTTTGGTGTGTTTGAATTTATCCGTCCATATTCCCAATGTTTTTTGTAAAACGTCACAAGAAATCGAATATTTGTCAACATTCCGTAAAAAAAGTTGGCAAATCTAGACTTTTTCCCAACATTTCTATAGTAACGTCCGCAAAACGTATAATTGTCCCTACTATTTTATTTTCGTCGAGAGAAAATTACTTCTCCCGACGATTTTTTTAACGTTGGAAAAATTTTCGTTGGGAAAGCAATAAATTCTTGTAGTGGTAGGAAGCTTTTCTATATAATGTGGCGTATTTTTATTTCCTAAAAAATTTCAGTCGAATCCACTCATTATTAACAAAAATACGTCACATCAAAAAGTGAATAGTAACTTATCCTCACACTGTATATATACTTGATTGATTTACACAAATAAGTTTGTTAAGGTTTCTTAATGAACAGGTTTTGAAGGTAATGATGGAAGATCTTACGAATAAAGCTATAGATAAATTGGTTGAAGATTACAGTAAGTTCAGGAAGGAGAAGAAGTAAGAGAGAAGGATAAAATGTAGAAGTAGAAGAAGACATTTCGACTTTAGTCTAAGGTGGGTTTTTTTTTCCTTCTTCTTTTTCTTTTTCAAAATCGATGCAAGTAGATCTCTATAATCAATGTTCGTTGTTTGGGTTGAATAACACTGTAATCATCACAAGACTTGAATACAAGACTTCATGATATGTGATACTACAAATCTTCATGTCCTTGTAATTCTGCCATTCCTAGGGGACGAACAACTTTAATTCAAGAAGGCCTTGTGATATTAGACTAGCTATATACTTTAAAGGTAAGCACATGAAATAATTAATATGATCTAATTGTTTCTTCTTAGTGTAAAAGTTTTAGCTTGTTTTTTCCCCTCTTGGCCAAGGAAATCACATGGGATAATTGATAGATTTTGTCATAACAACCTTTGGGCATAACTTTTCACACTTGGACAAATGTCTGTTTTGGTTTGTCTATGTAAAGCAAAGGCCTAACTTTTCCTCCAAAAATTGTATATTATTTTAGGATTGTTTCTTTAAAATGGAAAAAATATATGGATATATAAAAATTTGGGAAAGATAGATTATCAAACTCATATTTCTCAAAAAATTGAAAACTAAAGAAATAATAAATGTGAGTCAGAACCATTTCCATGAGGAAATAACTTATTATTTTGGTATGGAGGCAATATTTGCTTCAAAGTTTTGAAAGAGAACTCATAAATGGAAGGAGATATACTAAAATTAATAAGAAAGAAAAAGAAAAGGAAATCACAAATATTAATAAAAAAAATGCAGATTTGTAAATCAATTAAGAAGCAGGAAGTTACGTTTGAAACAAAATTTTAGAGTTTATTTTCATTATTTCTTCAAATATCAACCGAAGTTTGTATTTTATTAATATTATTATTGATATTAACTCAACTGTAAATGTATTTACTCATTCATTTGAAGTGGGAATTTCAGATCTCATACTCCATATTTGTCAAGAAAAAAAAAAGAAAATTAATATTGATATCTCTAATGAAATTCAGGCTTCGATGAGTTTGAATATCATCTTTTTTTTATATAACAAATATAAAATGAAAAGATTGAACATCAGTCTAATATGCATCAACTACTCAGCTATATACTTATTTTTGGTAAATATATAACTTTTATTGAGAAATAAATTAGATCTTATGTTTTTAGCATGAATAATAAAAGAGATGTAAAAAACCAACTTAAAGTATAAACCATCGTGATCAAACTTTCATGGAAAAAAAGAAGAAAACCATCGTGATCAAAAAAAGAAGTTTAAATAATAAATTTGAACTATAAAAATTTAAACCACCGTGATTGGAGATTTTACTTTTTTTTTCTCTTCTTTTAATATAATATGTAGAGGTAGGGGATTGAGTTCACAACGGACATATGTGTCAATCATCATTGAACTACGATCACTTTGGCTGATTGAAGATATCACTTAACAAAAGAGGGACCCTAAAGAATGAAAAACTTGAATAGATACTGTAGTTTTCTAAAATATTCATAAGTAGGTATTATTAAAAAATTATTTATAAATATAGCATATCTTTTAAATTAATTACAAATAAAATATATGTCAACTTAAAAAATCAATTAATTATGGTATATGTCATCAACCAAAAAAGTTTGAGGTTCAAATCATCACTCTCAGGTATTAATACGGGAACTAAAAAAAACCCAAATAAAGTATACTTAAAAAATTTATTATTCACATATTGATTAATTCTATTACACCTACACATTGATTAACATTAATAATTTGTATATCTATTCGTTGATTTACTAATACTTTGATTAAATATGTAATCACTGATATACACGTGTTCTAAATTTTTATATATCTGCAAAAAAAAAAAAAAGAAAAGAAAGAAAAGAAAAGAAGAAGTCTTTTGTAATATTTTTACGTAAACTCACTGGATTTGGAGTTATTTCAAAAGAAAATTACAACATGAGAGGTTGTGAGTTAATTTTAAGAATGATATAGTTTTTTTTAAAAAAATTAAAAATAATGCATATTTAAATTTAAAAATTATTAAATTAAGTGATACATCCAAATTATTAACAAATATGTATTATTTAGGTGTTGATCAAAGTAAAAAATCGCTTATAATTGATGCGATTTAAGTGTCAACATGTCATATATAAAGTAGATTAGATGATTGTTAAGGATCACACATTGAAAAGATAAAAGACCTTACAATGGTTTATAATAAATATGGGTTACTCCCCAATTGATTTTGAGATGGAACCATGAATATTAATTTGCTATTAGAGCCCAAAACGTTCAAATGAACAATCGGTCCAAAAATGGAATCCGGTCAAGATTGATGAGCCAATAGAGCCACGATCTTGAGGGGGACGTTACCCATTATTTTAATAAATTGTTGGACGAAATTGTTTTTAATTTTTTTTAAAATATTATAATTCTCAACTATTTCTAAAATAGTTAGGAGCAGTTAATCTTCCCAAATATTGTAACATATTGTTGGAAAATATATATATTTTTTAAATATTACGATTCCAAACTATTTCTAAAAACAATGGGAAAAGTGAACTTTATCCAATTATTTTAATAAATTATTGGGTGATATTGTTTTTAATTTTTAATAATTTGATATTTTCCAACCTAATTGATGTTACATTAAGAGAACAAGGTAATTGCTCTAAAAAAAACAGTAATTTAGGCATAATAATAATAATAATAATAAAAACAGTAATTTAGACATAAATGGTAATCTCTTTTTTTTTTTCTTTTTTAGTACAACACGTGGGGTGGGAGATCCAACTCGCAATCTCTTGGTTGGAAATATATGTCAATTATCGCTGGACTATACTCATTTTGGCAATTAATAACTCTCTTATTGAACTGGCTCACATTTTATTTATTACAATTTCATGTAAAGGTCAAAATTCGAACTTCTTATCTTTTAATTGAGAATATACGCTGTAATTACTTGAGTTATATTTAGGTTGGTGCTACTAACCCACGACTAATTATTGATATCGTACAAAATTTTACAATGTTCAAAAGCTGTCTCATACAAACATAAAATCTCTTGTTCCATCAACAATATAATTATCAAAATGGAACCCACAAACTTGGCCAAAACTAAAATAATAGTTTTGTAAAGTAATTAAATACCAATAAAAAAAATATCATTAGTAAGTATATTGAGTGCCAATTACAAAATGCCACGGCAGATGAGAGTTTCTCCGCATAGGTGCGCTATCGAAAATTTAATTCTAATTAATTGCAATTAATCCACAGAAAACGTTTTTCAGTTTCAAAAGTAATGTCAATCAGTTGGTTAATTTCAAGAACAAAGCTTTCTAACAGTTTTTTTTTTTTTTTTGATACCGCTTTCTAACAGTTTATTATACTTAAAATGTATAAAAGATTGAGAGAAAAAAATAATATATATATATAGACACATCCATCAAGCTACGAGAATAAAAAATTCGAATATCCAATTTTTTGGTAGATGACTAATGCATTAAAAAGTTAATAAATTAGACTCCAAGAGAAATAATATTTATTAAACATCATTTATGCATGTTAATTTCATTCTTATCCTAATTTTCTTTTGAACCTAGAATGGAATATAAAGGAAAAAAAAAAAAACTTCTAAATGAATTCAGTCAAGAGTAATTATAACTATATTGTATTCTATTATTGTGAACCAAGCTCTTTCGTTTGGTTGCGCTAGGGGGAAAGAAATATGTTTACACCTACTATTTATCTCTATTATTAATAAATTCAATTGTCATAAAGCTTCTGTATATTATCCTTCTTTAAATTTGACGTGAGATACAAATATAAAAATAGTTTACTGATTATCATTACTTCTAAAATACCGTGGGTTCAAATCTTCACTACCTTATTAATTACATAATGTTCTAAAAAATTGACGTGACATTTTTAGTATAAGATGTGTTTATTATGGTTTACTTAAAATTTTAAATTACATTAAAAATGCACCTATTCTTACAAAGGTTACATGACATGACATCCTAAATTTACCAATGAATGTCAAGATTAGTCAAGAAATCATCACCTTAATTCACCTATATTGGTTGAAGGTGATGATGCAATTGAGAAAACAATCTACTTAGGCACCTATGTTGGATGTGAGAAATCTTTGTGATGTAGGTATACAAAGACTAATACCAAAAGTAAAAAGTTATTGACTTAGCTCAACGGTAATTGATATATATCTACGACCCCCCACTCTCACATGTTGTACTAAAAAAAAGGTTATTGTTTAGGATATAGATCATCGAGTAACATTTTGGCTATGTTTTCGTTTCTCGTTTTTTGTTTTTTAATAAATAAAAATAAAGCTCATTTTGGTAACTGTATTTTATAATTACAACAAATTTCGGATGTGGGACTAAACCTTGACCTAGTGTCGGAACAAGATGCTATAACCATTAAGCTAGGTTCATGTTGATCTCTACGATGTCTTGTTTCTCGTTTTCTAAAACTTCAAATTAAAAAACATACTTTTTTATCTAATAATTTATTTTTTTTAATGTTATATTAATTTCTAAATATTTGTTTGGTATTTTATAAGTCAAAAATGATAAAATAATAATTTTATTTATGTTAAAAAAAGGACTAAAAATAATAACAAGAAACAAAAAAATTGATTATGTGATTTCTAAAATTTCAACACAAATTTGAAACATTTCTATTTAAAAAATAGAAGCAACATCATTTACCAAACACCAAAGTCCTAATATCCAACTAATAAACCTAAAAACCAGAGAATAGCTTTACCAAAAGCAAACAATTATCTAACTCAAAGCATTTTTGTAGATTCTCAATTTAAGTGTCTCAAAGTAAACAAATACAATATCACATACGATATTATAGAACATTGGAAAAACCTTATACAGTACACCTCAATATTGTGTTTTTTGATCGCTTGCCAATCTTAAAGAGGATACTAAGATGGAGGCAAAAATGAATGAATCAATCTCAAGTCATTTGCAAACTCACAATAAACATGAATTCATTTTTCAACACCACACCCAAACATGACAAACCCAAATGGAAGAAGATAAGGTTGCTCTATTTAGAAAGTTTGAAGTACAATATCAGGATGATGGCCAACACGAGGACGACAATAATGGATGTAACAATCCACTTGTTCTTGTTCATCCTTCTTGACATGTTGGTTAAAATTCTCTTACTCTTCCCAATATTGTCATCTACTCCATGAAGCTGCCACGAGGTGGAAAATTTCAAATAAAAACGATACATCAAGGAGTCTAGATTTAAAAAGACAAATCAGAAAGGTTTTGCATCACAAAGAAAGAGTAATATGAAGAATCTAAGTCACACTGCTCCTATGGCATTGTTACTCCTATGACGACCCGATTACACGAAAAGTTAAATGTCATACCGTACTGTGAGCCTGCAAGAGAGACTGTCGCTGCGAGTGCAAATCTTGGAGAATTGAAACCCCAAGTTCTTCTGTTTCTAGCATGGTTCTTCGACTTTCCTTAATTCTGTCACTAGACTTACCTAGCCTCTCAGTCGTGGTCATTAATCTGGCTCTTTGGTCAGTCGATGCCTATATGAAATGGCATCCAGGCATAAGTCAAAGCTAATACATAATTACAGAGGATAAAATATGGTGCTTCAGAACTGAATTGCAAGAATTAAGCAAGAAAGAGAAAGAAAGCATGTCTAAAAGCTTAAAAATCATAACCTTGACTACTAGTAGAAACATAATATGAACATGTTTACTATCAGATAGGTCTGTAAAATAAAATTTCATGTCGGCGTCATCCTTGCAAGCATATGTTGGGATAGCCAAAGAGCCATAAGGCACAGTCAGACAATTTATCACCACCGTTATAGATTTTGTTCTGGACAGCTGGACTTAATGCATCCACTTCTGTATCAAAATTTTAAGGTATGAATTTGCATCCATTTCTATCTTTATTATGAACCTTCAAGAAATTGAGATGATTCCATGGCGACAGAAGTGATGGAGAGAATAAGTAATTTCAACATATGTGCAACAATGACAATCCAAAACAATCAGAGTACCCGGGATCCAGACATACCGTCAGGGTATCAGCCATTCCTGATTCCAGCAACTCATCTCTAGTGGCAGCATTTAAGTTTCCAGATTCAATGCGTTTAACTTCACTTTTCAAATTGTTGAGGTCAGATTTATACTCTCTTAATTTAGCTAGAAGGACAGCCTTGACATTAGGTTGCAAGCTTCTGGCCTCAAGATCCATTTTTCGAATCTAGAAATCACAAAGAATATAACATTAACATTACAAGATGAAGTTTGAAGGCATTTCTCTCAACAAGAACAAGTCAACTAGGTACCAGAGCTTCTGCATCATCAATTCCAGCCTTTACTTCAGAAACCTTTTGCTTCTTCTGCTCTGCAAGTACGACACATTCATATAGCAAATAACATCAGTCTAATTTTTCTGTAGTATTAAATGAAATAATATAAAGAGAAGCTTCAATTTCGGATCATCTAATAGATATACAAATCGAGTTATAATTGATTCATAACATTCATCATCACTAAGAAAAGATTAAAGAAAATCTAAAGCTAGGTAGCCCTCAGAATGAATCACTTCAACAGTAAGAATATTTTACATTATTTTTTCAAATAATCTGAAGGGAGAATTTTGGCTCCACACAATAAACCCATTAATGACAGGTCAAGAGATTTTCAAACAGCTGCATCACAAAACAATCTTTGTCCAAAATTTTATTTTTGTTTGATGCACGCTTAAAATTCTTTTACAAGAAAGCGTATGTAAGTTCACCTTAGCAGAAGTCAACTATTTACTCTTTCCTTTTCCATAAGTTCTGAAATTCAAATGCTGACGCTGAGCAGGGGATCACAACAACAGGGAATGGATTTATAATATATTTTTATGATCTGGAACAGAACTAACCATATGTTTGATTTATCCACAATAAACATATTGAAAAATATTTTACTTATAAAATTAGTTCACATCTAGCTATAAACCATGCCAATCTCCTAAACCAATGATCATGAATTGAATGTGAAATAACAGTCATCACCACTTGAACAGATTTAAGACAATCAAAATTCAGATAGAGAGCTATAAACGAACTTCCACCAGCAAAGTAACAAAAATATAAAGAAGGTAGTTCTAGGAAATCCAACATAGTATGATAGAAGCTATTAAGAGATTATGGGCTCCTTCCTACTCTGAATGACACATGGAAATAAAAGAACAGCCATAAAACAAAACAGTATTCGCTTCAGCATAATTGTTACAAGCATTGATGTCTAATGAAAATGCACCCTACAGTGTGTACTCTTTCTTATCTTCTTTCTGTATTATTTCCAAATTCAAGGATAAAGAAATTAATCATAAACAGGTCAGTAAGGGATCGTCATAGTAATACAACTTATAATTGTTTTTACCAATATAAATATATAAATATTCTATCTGGAAGCCAATAAAAAGTAATTTGCTAATTAACTAAGGCCACATTAGAATTAACAATGTATCTCGCTAAGTTTTGACCATAAAATTATTAATCATTAACCAAAGGCATCCCAATTACGCGAACCCAAAATAAATATATAATAGAAATCGAGGACCTGCCATTACCGGTGAATTTTTCAATTTGCATATAAGTTTCTGGTGAAACCGGAAAAAATAACCACAAAAGGAAACAAAATTCACAAAAATTAACAAGGTTCAAGTACCTCCATTTAGGGCACTGGCCGAAGTGCACTTTCTTGAAAGGTTCGCCGAGAGCTCGCAGTATTGGCGTTCATACCCTTCAAACACTTCACTCATCGTGCCCCAACCTTCAAAATCGACCTGCCCAAGTCAGCGATATCAGCATTTTACGCATCACCTCGCGTAAGCGTAATAGATCCAAGCCAATCAAACAAGATTACTCATATGATTCAAATAAATTCGTAGGAAAGGATAAAATCGAGGCTTCAATTTGACTCTTTCAAAAGGAAAAAAGCACTTCAATCAACATGTAATGTCCAAAATTCTGGAAAGACTCGGCAGATTACCCAATTCGATCAGAGATGGCAAAGCCCAGAAGGAAGAATTATGGAACGAAAAAAATTCGGGGCTAAGCGATCGGAACGATCAAACGACAAGAGGAATTCGAACGGACAACCGCAAGTTTGTTGTTGACAAATGAAGGCTTCGATCGCAAACCGTGTCTCGAGTAATAAGGAATTTAACCAGAAAATAAATAAATAAATAAGTTAAAAAGTTAAATATCCTTATTTATTTATTAGGTTTTTTTTAATATATTAAAAAGTGTCCACACCATTTTGGTCAGCACGACTAATCTCAACAACTACCAAAACTACTTGCCTCTATAATATTTAGGTTTTTTTTATTAAGAGAAATTTATTAAATTTTTACTCACAATTCCTTAATTGGATGTATATGTCAATTACTACTAAATTATGTTTGGGCGAAAGCACGTAAATTTTTAAATTTTAATAGTCCCAAGTTTGAAATTTTGCTAAAATAGCATCATTTAAATTAAACTCAAATTCTAATTTAATACGAACAAAAAAATGCAACATTTTAAAAGTGGTATGTTAAATTTAATTATGCTATGGAGTCAAATTTCTAATATTTACAGAGAACGTGATTCAATGCTGGCGGATTTAGAAATTTTGGTGTAGGGACTTCATACTAATTTCACGAATAAGCCAAAGGGGGTCGAGCATATATTTACCAGCGATACAGATATATTATAAGAATATTATTACATTTGTATATACTAATTACTTATATTCAGAAGTTGAGAGGCCCCTCGACCCAATCTACATCCGCCCCTGATTCAACGAACTTGGGATACTTCTCGTTTGACACAAAATTACTTTACATCTTGTTTAGAGTCGTGTATATATTCGTACTACTACTTAGTGGGACAAGTTTGGCGTAGCAACTCGCGACCAGCTTTGATAAGACCTGCTTGTGAGTTATTTCCTTAATGAGTTATTATGTTGTGTCTCCTTCTAGTTTATGAAAGGTTTGTGATCCATGTTTCTTTTGATGTTTGTTCCTTATTGTCGTGTCAGTTACTTTTTTTTTTGTTATGGTTTATCTTTGAGGTTGCTATTTTTTAAATCAAACTACCATTGACTTGAAAAGAATCGTGACGTAACAAGTAAAATAATAAACGACGAAGAAATAAAATTTGAACTGCTATGAGTTTAGTTAACCGATAACAGACACCTGTCTCTAGTTAAGAGACGAGGGGAAGAGGGAAAAGAAACCAAATAGACTAGCTAATTAATACCTTCGGCGAAGAGAGAAGCAAAAATCTCCCATTGATGACGATTGGGGAAAAGGAGACCAATTTCAACTCCGCCTCCAGATCCATCTTTGGTGTCTATCAAATACATCATGTTCTTTCCCAACAGAACCATCTCAACTTTGTTAGGGTTTCCCCACCCGAAATTTGTTTGATAGAGCTTAAACTTGGGCGAACTTGCAACCCAACAAAGTTCAGCTGTTGAAAAGTATTTGGTTTGAAACTGAATACAGTCGGCCATTGTAGACACCTTCACTGTGCGGGTTCTTCTCAATTCCACAATCATGTGGCTGATTTTCTTGGCGATCTTGGAAAGCCCACCTTCTTCTCTAACTTCCCTTGCTTCCATCAGCGCCGCCGGATTGGACAGGCAATTACCAAAATAGGTGCTCGAAACTGGCGGATCCAGCACACCACGAACGTCCACGGCGAATTCAAAATTCAGAAGCTCTTTACACTCCCCTCCTTTTGATTTGATGAAACATATCAAAGCATACGCATAAGCAACCACGAATGTGGATAAATGCAATTCTTCAGCTTCTTCTTTCTCTACTTCCTCCAACACCCTTTTCTTGAGTTTTTGTATGTGTGTTGGAGTCAGTTGGAATGTGGCCATGAGGTAGTTGGATGTAGGCAAATATTCTGTGTTGCACTTCACGCTTCTGTTTTTGGGGACGTAATCGAACGGGTTTCGAAGAACATTGGGAGGCCTTTCAAATGAAGGGGTGAGTTCCGGTGGCAAAGGACAAAATTCCAAATCCAAATCCAATTGGTTTGCGATGAGTTTGGAGATGTAGGCCCATGCTTTGACGAAAAGGGTGAAACTTCGGCCGTCGAAGATCACGTGGTGGGCGGCAAAGCCAATGGAAAACCCGTGATTTGGAAAATGAGTGAGCTGTATGGCCAAAATGGGAGTGGAAGAATCAGAAGATTGGATGGTGGGTATGAAGGGCAAACAGTCGTGGATCTGACGTGGATGGCCGCCGGAGACATGGTGGAAGTCGGCATGGGTAGTGTCGGCGACGGTGAAGGAGACGCCGTCGTTGGGGGAATAGAGAAAGAAAGGTAGGGCAGAATCCTCCGGCCAAACGACGTTGCCGGCGAGAGGAAGAAAGTGGGTGAGAGTAAGAGAGAGAGAGCGCTTCAGTGTGGGAACGATGGAATCAGTGAAAGAATAATCATGTGTTTGTGTTTGTGGATAAAAAAGCAGGCGCTGAAGCAGAGGGACTCGTAAGGAAATCCAGTCAAAGGAAGCGAGAGGAAGAGAGAATTGTGATTCTGATGAAGAATGTTTGGAGGGACAAATCTTACAAACTTCCACAATTCTCACCAACTTTCCTTCTTCCATCTTACTGCTACTTTGAACTTCCAACGAACAACCAATAAAAATATTAATCCAAGTTATATATAATAGACCTATTGTTCAAAGATCACGTGTTGCATGCCAAAGCAACACGGACCACGGATATGTTAGTCACAAGGACCAAATTAAGATTTTTTAGTATATTAAAGATAAGATAAAAAAATTTAAAAGTTTTAGATATTCAAAGTTATGGGTACATCAACCAGTTTTTATCCTTTAGGATTCAATGGTTTGTGTGGTGTTTGCTTTTTCTGGACCAAACTCGACAACAACTGAATCACTATATTTTTCATATCATACCCAAACAAATCTATCAGTGATACGTGAGCAAGACGTCAAAAATATTATTTTGGTTTTTGAAAAATAGATTTGTTTCATAATTTAATTTATTTTTTGTTTTTGATTTTTTTTTTTAAAAAATGATTTTTTAAAACAGAGTTATGGTTTTCGAACTTTTCATTTTTCCAGTTGGTTTCAAGAAAAGGTTGGAACTTTGTCTGCCACTCCCGACAATAGTCATTTTCTGAATTTTGTCCAGCAGCATCCATTAAATATATTAATAAAATAATACTTCTTTGCTCAAAGGGAAAAAGAAGAAGGATTAATGGAGGTATGGAGTTTGAACACTCCAGGTTGGCTACATAGTTTTGTTCAAACTGAACTGGTTTTTCTTGATTTAGTAAAAAAACATACAACAACTTTTAATAAATATTTATATTTTTCTTACAGAGACTCAATTAAGAATTTTTAATATATTAAAGGTAAAACAAAAAAAAAATTTAAAAGATTAGGCATTCCTGTTTGGAAAAGTAAAACTTAAAAGTTAAAACTAGATTGATTTTTTAGATCGATTTGTTTGATAAATTACGATTAGCCTTTTTTTCCCCTCAATTCTCTTATCTATTAAATAGAAGAAGTGGGGTAACTTCTACGAAACCAACCACTAGTCGATTATAAGGTTATTTCTAATTTGGTCCCTCATTAAATTAGTATATCTACACAATTTATCTATGGTCAATTTATAATTACTCTTCCCTGCCAAAACTTTCATATAATTAAATTACATCCTCTAACTTAATTAAAATGGCAAAAATAGAAAACACACATAAAAAGTTAGCATCTCATGTAGTTTGAACCCACGCCTGGAAGGTTATTCCTTAAGGCCCCAAGCTTTTCCGGAATTATAATCCATATTAGCTAAAAAATAATTTTAACTAAAAAAGTAATTCTTCTCATTTTATTTCTGTTTCTAATTTGTTTTTTGTATAAAATATATTCCCAGTTTTTCCATCTAATTTTTTTCCTTTTAAATCTTCTTTCGTTGTAACTTTTCTTCATCTTTTTACTTGTTGACTTTTCTCTAACAAATATATTTCAAATCTTTTTCAATCTAAAACTATGTTGTTACTATAATTTCCTTTCTTTCTCTAACATGTATTTCTCTCAACTTTACTCTCTTTCTCTAAACTTCTCTATTTGTTTTTTAACTTATTCTCACTAAATTTGTTTTCTATAAATTGTTTTTATTTGTATATCTAATTTAAAACTAAAGCTTTCAGCTATGGAATTATATTTTTCACAATTCTTCCTCTCATTCACCCCTCCTCTCTGTCCCTCATAGCTCCCTTATCTATACAAAAGCCTGTGTTGGATTTCAAAATATCAGAGTATGAGGTTCTATGTTCTAACCTCTATGTTGAAAAATACAATTTTTCCTTCCACAGTTATAAAAAACAAAGCCAATCACTTCAACAATTCTGATCACCACGTAGGTGGTATGGGTTGGATTGTTGTGACGGGAGGGGAGAGATTATTTTGGCCAAAAACTACAAAATCAGGGTAAAGTAGGAAATCAAAGCCCTAAGATTATTGGCGATAATTCGTAGACTCCAATCCATCAACATGCAAAATAGAAACTTAATTTACCTTAAATCGGATTCAATCAAAGCAATTCGGTTGATGAGAAAGGAGGATGTCGATCTGACAAAAGATATCTGACTTGTTGAGGAAGGTATGACATTAGAGGAAGAGAAAGGAATTCATCCGATTGCTCACATCAAAAGAGGGAAGAACTATGCAACCCATGAACTGTCGAGGAGAGTTGATGGGAGTAGAATGATTTTCTAATTCCTATTTGGATTCGGGGTGTAGTTACAACTGAGCTTTCGTTACTTTAATTTAATTTGGTGCTTCTTTTCAAAAAAAAAAAAAATTGATACAATAATTCCACCGTATGAAGATCCAAAATTAATTAGAGGGACATGGCATGTCCCACCATGACCTAACCTTGTCCACGATTCAATTTTACTTGTTTTAAATTATTTTTTTTTTTTCCATATTTTGTGCTTTAGGTAACTTTACTTTTCTCAATTTATTTATTTATTTTAAATTTGAAATTGAGGGTGATTTTGACATATTAATGGCAATCCATTCGTCCAATCAAATACTTGAAATTATTTACACTCCCACCTTCCATATTTCCCTCTTTCTCTCTCCCCCATTCTCTTTAACTTTGTCCTCCTCTACCAATAATTTCTCGATAAATACTTGTCCTTGCTATGTTAGTGAGTAGCGAGGAGGAATGTTGTCTTTACCACTATTAAATATTTGACAATTCATCATATTTTAAAAACATTTTTTATTTTTACATTTCTCTCTCTCAGTTAGATATTTAATGATGGTAAGAGCAAAATTAATTCTTTACTAGTTACCAGTAAGGAGCCAAAATATTTTCCAACTTTCTCCTTCTCTTTCTCACATTTTCCCTCCTAACCAATTCTCTCTTTTCTTCCCCTCCACATCCTCCCTGGTTTACATTAATGTCTCACTCTTCCTCATTTCCATATCTTTCCATTTCTCAAAATTTTCCTTTAACGAAATTTCTTTTTTTTTTCTCTCTCTAGTTGGTACACTGTCATTCCCCCTATTCAATTTTTGTCCAACTCAACATCCATTCGAAGGTTTGAAATTTCTTTTACTCTGATTTTACTTTCTTTTCAAATTGCTTAAATGCATGAGGTGGGGATTAAAATTGGCCAGGGGATTAAAATCCATTTTATATTATTGTATAGGAGATGTTATTTTTGTGTTTTATGCATGTTTTTTGATTATGTGAACCTCTAATATTAGTTTAATTTGTTTAACAAACTTGATTTGATTTTATATTAATTTTTAAGGTCGATATCTTCTCATTTTTTCCCTTTAATTTTCAATTTTCAAATGGTATGGAGAAAATAATTTTTAAATGAGGATTTGTAATAGGTAGCATATAAGTTTTCTATATTTAACAACATAGCATATCTTTTTGATATTTTCAGATATAACATTTTTTTTTAAAATCCTGATTTTAAAATTTTCAGTATTCCCAAATTACCCTTTTCAGTTATGACTTCATTATTATATATCAAACATATATCACATATATATCAGGAATATATCTGATAACATTAGTATATCAAAAGTAAATCAATAGTATATCAAAAGTCAATCAGTTCTATATCAGTTGTATAATAGTAAATCACTATTTTACCTGCTTTAACTCTTTGTCTTGTATTTTTTTGATCAATTAGAAATTAGTAGGTATTGGCATGCATGGAAAATGAGAAAAAAATTTGATACTTACTGAAAATGAGAAAGAAAACTTGAAAGGAACGTGAATGTGAACATCAATGGTGATTTTCAAAATTACTGTGAATGAGCAATCAATTAGAAATTAGAGGTAAATAAAAACTTAGGGTTTTTCTGTATATCAATAATATATCAGTGATATATCAAGTATACATCATACATATATCAATAGTACAATTAAGTTTTATTTAAGGTTTTAAATATCAAAATGAAAGTAGCAACAATGTCATTCTTAAAAGGTTTAAATATCATTTTTGGGTATCAAGATCAACATCAAATCAGCAGCAAAGTTCTTCAACCAAAAACTTAAAGGTTTAAACATCAAAACGAGCTAGTAGCATAAACCAAAAGTAGACTAACAATGTCATTCTTAAAATTCTATAAAAGAAGAAGCATAAGTTCCAGAAGTGCATAAGTTCCAACAGTCTAGAAAAGCGTAAGTTTCATTCTTGTATAATCTTTAGGTAAAAGCTTGGGACATCAATCTTTGTTATTGGTGATTGTCGTGTTTTCGGAAATACTATCTTTGAAGCTTTCCATTTTTTCATAGACAACACTTTTGGAGTTGGTTTATGTTGTTTTTTGGGACGAACGACATCAACATTTTCGACGATGTTTTTTTATTTCATTTTTCATGTTTGTACCATTGCTTTTATCTGAAAAAAATTATTTCATATATTAGTAGTATATCATAAAACATATATTAGAGGTAATATGTTCGAAATAATTTGTAGATATCATAGTTATATAAGAAATAAATCAATTTCATATCATATGTATATCAAACATATATTGCATATATATCAAGAGTATATATGTTAATCATAGTTATATCAGAAGTAAATCAATAGTATGTAAGAAGTCAATCAGTTCTATATCACCTATAGTAGTAGATATCATATGTATATTAAACATATATCACATATATATGACGAGTATATCTGTCAATCATAGTTATATCATAAGTAAATCAATAATATATAAAAGTCAATCAATGCTATATCACCTATTGTATTATATATCATAGTTATATCATAAGTGAATCAATTTCATATTAAATATATATGAAACATATATCACATATATATCAGGAGTATATCTGTTAATCATAGTTATATCAGAAGTATATCTGTCAATCATAGTTGTATCATAAGTAAATCAATAGTAGATCAAAAGTCAATCAATTCTATGTCACCTATAGTAGTAGATATCATAGTTATATCAGAAGTAAATTAATTTCATACCACATGTATATCAAACATATATCACATATATATCAGGAGTATATCTGTCAATCATTAGTATATCAGACGTCAATCAAAAATAATTTATTGTTGGTTCGGGCCTGCAGGGTATATTTGTAATTTAGAACGTGGGCCTCCGTTTTTTTGCAAAAAAAAATGCTATATTTGAAAAACCCAAACCTTGTTGCTATTTTACGACATTTTATAATTTTCATAAATACATGAAATTTTCCATTAAAAGTAATTTTAATAATTAAAAATAATTTATTATAAAATAATTAAAAATAAATTTAAAAAACCACTCACAAATTTTTAAAAAAACAAAAGGGATATTAAGTAGTGTTCTCTTTTTGGAATTTATTAAATTCCTTATTTCTCCTAAAAAATAAATTTCAATATTTTAAATGACATTTATGTCACTTATAATTATTAATTCATCTTTTTTTTTTAATAAACATGAGACATTTAAAAATAAAATAAAATAAAATTGTGAAGAGATGTTGAATAATTTAATAAATTTGATAATTAAAATAAAATATTCGTAATAATTTTCATGGGTGTTGTAGGGTGTTTTCCCTATGCACAAATCACTCACAAACTCGATCTGATTTACACAGACGACCAATTATCTTTATATTAATTGGTTGACCAAACAAACTTTAACATGAAGGATATAACCACTCCGCATTGCAATCATGTTGCGACATAGGTTACTCATTTTTAAAATTAAATTTCCCCTTAAATAAAAATGCATGGAACAAGTAACATCAGAAACAATCAAGAAACACAATTTTGAACCAAACATGAGTTTAATTTAACAATAATCGGCCTATCTCTAATCAAGAGATCATAAGTTCAAATTCCGCAAGCCCTGCAGAAAAGTAAATGAAACCAAATAGACTAGTTAATGCCCTGGGCGAAGAGAGAAGCAAAAACGTCCCATTGATGATAGTTTGAAAACACGAGACTAATTTGAACTCCAATTCCATTTTTGAACTCCAATTCCATCAAATAAATCATGTTATCTGCCAACGAAACCATCTCAACTTTGTTGGGGTTTCCCCACCCGAAATATGTTTCATAGAGCTTAAATTTGGGCGAATCTGCAACCGAACAAATTTCAGTTGTTGAAAAGTATTTGGTGTGAAATTGAATACAATCGGCCATTGTAGACATCGTCATTGTGCGAGTTGTCCTCAGTTCCAAAATCAGACGGGTAATTTTCTTGGCAATCTTCGAAAACCCATTTTGTTCTCTAAATTCCCTTGCTTCCATCAGCATCCCCGGATGGGTCAGGCAGTTTCCAAAATAGTTGCTCGAAACTGGCGGATCCAACAACCCAGTAGCATCTGCTGCCAGTTGAAAATGCACAAATTCTTTACACTCCCCTCCTTTCGATTTGATGAAACATATCAATGCATACGCATAAGCCACCACAAATGTGGATAAATACAATTCTTCTTCTTCTTCTTGCCCTACTTCCTCCAACGCCCTTTTCTTGAGTTTTTGTATGTGTGTCGGGGTGAGTTCGAATGTGGCCATGAGGTAGTTGGATGCAGGAAAAACTTGTGTGTGGCACTTCACGCTTCTTTGATTGGGAACTGTTTGGGGAAGAGAATACCCTGGACACGTGGAGGACCCCTATTGGTGCTCCAAGATGACTCATGAGTCATGCCCAGCTCGGACCGCCGAGATC